GGGGAAGGAGAAAAGCACAATCTCTTGTGTCGGTCCAAGCCCTCTCTTTGGATGAGCGATCAAAACCTTGCTCTCTTGTGCCGGTCTAAACATTCATCTGGATTTGTAGCTTAGGGAGCGTAGATGGTGATCAAAGCGAACATTGGTGGTGATCAAATGCTGGTTCTCTTGTACATGTCCAAATTTTTCCTTGGATTGATAGCTCAGAGAATATTAGTGTTGATCAAAGTTTGCCCTCTTGTGTCGGTCCTTCTGTTGATTGGTATCTCGAAGGGTATTGATGGATCGAAATTTTATTTTCTTGTAAAAGTTAGAAACGACCCAACGGTGGCCTCTCTTGGGGGGAGATTTGGCAGTAGCAATGCTTGAGAAGAAATTCGATGATAACAAACAGACAGACTGAAGTCTAATAATGGTAGGCGACTAAGTAGAAGTTCAATGGCGATTAGAATCTAGGTGGTGGTCCAATGATGGTTGGGCAGACTTTCGCTGATGGTTGATGGTCGAGCCATGAGCTGATGATAAAGATTGAGCATTATTCTGTTAGAGATAGTATACATTTATGATAACAGGCACAAATAATTAGAAATTTAATGCAGGGGGTCAAATAATGTGCTAACCGCAACTGTCTAATGACACATTAAAGATGTGAATAGAGTGGAGGCTTGTTAGGGATCCAATCCTTTTTGAAAGGACAGAGAAAGACATTTCAAAATTCTTTGAGGAAGAGTTCAATGGGATCCATAAAAGATGTATGACCGGGGAGGAGGCAAATGTCACGTGTATCCTGAATCCAATGTGAAGAATGTTATATATTTAGAACATTACTACCTTTTTGATGTTGAGATTACGACCTTGTCCAATGAAGTCAAGGTAATAATTGTAAATACCTTGCAATTTTTTGGAAGCATCCTTGCATTTGTTAGAAGCTTTATAAAAAATAGTTTCCAAATATACTATCGTGGATGTTAGAAGATTTGGAGGATTTTTTTTTTGTCACAGTTGCAGTCAAGGTTGATCCCTAATCTATATATGATTCCAATGAAATTGATGCAGCATTGGTTCATACCTGAGGGGTGATAGAAAATTACATAAAATTGCCCCATAATTAGGAATCTTTTCTCATAAACGACGCCAAATGTTGCGTCTTGTATATTCATGGTGGCAGAGAATGATATAGTTTAGAGTCTTAACTTTATACAAAGATTTAGTGCACCAACATATATGAGAGTACGATTATAATTAAGGTGTAGCATTCATAAGAGACTAGAGTTTTTACTTGAAAAATCCTAGAAATGTGGAAAAACCATGGGGCCTGGCCCAGTTTGAATGAATCCACTAATGTTTGCAATTGATTACAAATGAGACCCTTCCTTAGAAGGAGTGTTTTGGCTCAATGTATCAAATATATATCATACCAAGTACATTATATGCTTGAAGTGGGAAGAATCAGAGTTAATATGTTCATTTGGGGCTGCAAAATCATAGTCGGCAATCGATGCAGGTTGGAAGGACCATAGTCAGATGACGGTGGTCAAAAAGACCATAGTCGGTGGGCGACGGAGGTCAAAAGGATCGTAGTTGGCATTGGTGATTGGAAGACCGTTATCGACGGGTGACGGAGATCGAGAGAACCGTAGTTGGGCGACGATGATCAGAAGGACTATAGTAGACGCGCGACGGAGGTCGGGAGGAACATAGTTGGACGATGGTTGTCGGGAGGTCCGTAGTCGACGAGCGACGGAGGATTTTTTTGAGTGTGGCATGACTTATAAATATGTTGAGGATCAATGTAAAGATGGGAGTGGTTTGAATGAACAGCTGATATTGATCCCCTTGATCGTTGATCATTTACTGGTCATTTGAATGCCTTAAATGATATTAGAATTTTGTTATCTTGGGCTCATTGGATTCGTCTCGTCAAGCCGCTTGATTTGAATATAAGCATATCTCATTTGGAATTCATTTGGTAATTCAAATTATGCTTTGAACCCTCTAAAGATGTTTTGGACCCTTGATTTGGGCTCAGATTCGACTAATTTTGGTGTCGGGGGGTTCGTCTTTCCGAGACGTTCAATTCGATTATAAGTTTGCTGAAATAGGAGTTTGGATGGTCCTAGATTTAATTTTGGAAGTTTTCAATTCAATTTTGTCTCAAGATTCATGCTCGATCAAGATAATGTTTTGGTGATATATCACGAACAAAGTAAAATAAATACTTCTCTCACTAAAGATAAATTAATAAACCAAACAGCAATAGGGCCCTAGGAAATAGTCATCAAACTACTCCAATCGAAAAGGTATTGTATAACTTCCAATTTTATATGTTAGTAAGAATAAATCCCATAATGTATAGTTCGTATTACTTATATTTCATCTTCCCCACAAAATGCAAGAAGAAAATAAGAAGGCTTAACAAAATATGATCTTCAGTAAAATTGCCTTGGAATTTGTCAAGATGAGAAGCTGCAAGAGTTGTTAGCTAAGTGAGGGGAGACCGCCAAAATTCAGTTTGAGTTTGTGTTAATCTATCTTGCATGCTCAATCACAAATGCTGGGAATGTAGGGGTTTTGAAAATATTGATGTTTGATTGGATGAAAAAATAATATAAAGTGAAATAAAATAAATATAGTGTAAAACATTTTAAATAATATTTTGAGATAAACTAAACTCGCCCGATTTTGAGTGAGAATAGTTTACACTATAAATAAGCTCGCTTGACCGCGACTAGCTGTCGTTGGCACCCTAGTAGCCACTACCGGCCACCATTGTTAACTACCCACCGCCGACCACTACCTACATCCATTGTTGGCTGTTGTCAGCCACCAACACCAACACCAACCCAACATCGATTGCCGCCATGCACCTCCAGCAACCATCGTCGTCGGCACCCACCATTTTCCACCACCATCGTCGACAGCCACAACCCGCCTCTGGCCGCCTGCAACACCCTTCTCCAACCACCACCACCACCGCCCATCGGCACCACCGCCACCCACCACCACTCACCGTAGCCACCCGCCGACCACTTCCACTTTTCAGATTTTACACTACAATTATTTTACTTCAAAAAAAAAAAAAGTTTTCACTTGCATTTACTTTACACTCATCCAAACAATTCTAAAGTTGTCTTTTTTATACTGCATTCATCATAATATTTTTTTAATGATTGTTTTATCAATTTGAATTTAATATAGCACTCAATGATCTATTAATTATATGTTTAATTCACATATTAATTTAAAATTAAATTTATAAATCTAGTTTATCAAATAAGATCAAATAATTTTTAAGATTTAAAATTTAAGATTGTGAAATTTTATGTTACAATATTTACTCTGTGGTTGACTAAAAAGGAATATAATATAAAAGGAATGCAGTGTAAATATAAATGTAGAATTGTAGATAAAAAGAATGGTTTAGAATTGTATAGATAAGTGTAAAATGAATGCATGAGATTATTTTTTTATTTGTAACAGTTCATGCATTTTTCGGGGTTGTTTGGCAAAAAGTGGGATTTAATTTTAGTGGGATTTAATAAATCCTGTAAATCCAGATTTAGTAAATTCAAAATGTGTTAAATCCTTAAAATTATTTGGTATGCCAAATATTAAATCCTGAGAAACTGTTTGGTAACATATATCAGGATTTATGACGGTTAGGAATTTAAATTTAAATGAGATATTTATGAAATCAAATTTATTGCATAAAATATAATAAAATCAATTTTAGTTCATATAAAATAAGCTAAAATTCAATAAAAACAAATTATAAACTAACATTCATCAAAGTGACACATGAAATATTAAATTAGTTAATTATATAATATTTAATTACTAATTATATTTTTAATTAGTTAATTAAGTTAAATTAGATAATTAATTTATGCAATAATTATACTATTAATTAATTTAATTATTAATTGTTTAAATTATATTAATTAAGTTAATCAATAATAACTTTGAGGCGCCTAGGGTTTGCCTTTCTTTTCTCCTTTTCGTCGTTGCTGTTCGGCTTCTTTGCTTCGCAGGTGTAGAGATTGCGCGCGTCGCTACTTCGGCTCCTTCGTGGCTGTTCGACTGCGCTCCTTCGACGACTTACTCTTCCTGTCGGGATCGGAAGTTACGACATTTTGATCGGAATCAACAACGGGAGCTTGCTGTCTGTGAAGGTTCTACCTTTCGCGCGCTTCTTCGGCGACTGTTGAGCTTCGGCGACACGGGCGCCGCGGGTAAGTCTTCCGCCACTCTTTAAATCCCGTTAAATCCACCGAACCGAGGGATTAGTAAATCCGGGATTTAAGCCGTAAAACCGGGATTTATTGAATCCCTGGATTTAACGCTCGCTGTAAAACCGTTTGGCTGGATTTAGCGTAAATCCGACTTAATCCGACGATAAATCCGATACCAAACAGCCCCTTCGTGTTTCAAGAGTTTTGCCGTGCAATGAATTGGTTTCTAGATCTGATGCATAAATGTCTAGTATCATTAATGGACCTGCATGCATTAATATAAATCGTATTCTCTTTTGCTTGCTCTCCAAGTACAGTTTTTTTTTTTATTATTTAGCCAGCCATTAATTTTATACTTCTTAATAATCATCATAATTGCAAACGAACTACAGACACTGTATGCGTTAATGAAATTTTTGTTAATTTTCTTTTTATTAGCTGAAACTTTTATCCACTATCTGTTGCTTATTTGCCAATCTATTTTATTATTGTGAAAGTTTGTTCTACATTTAAAATTTGATTCATGAGTTGGAAAACTGCATTATCTTCATGTGAATTTACTCAGCTCACCTTTCATGGTTTAATGACACTAAATATGGAATTGCAGTTCCTTGGTGCCAGTGTTTCTGTTGCGATTTGACCCAAAGATTGGATGCCCCAAATGCTTGGACATTATAGAAATGTAAGTTGTATTTTTCTTCTATTATCATTTTTTAGTATTGGTGCTTCACCTAACATGTAGTTGCACTTTATTTTGCTAGAATTCATTGCCTCTTCTTTTTTTTTTTGCTGCTTTCTTAGCCTACTTAGCTTATTAGTTTGACTTTGACAGGAGTTTCATCAAAGAATTGAGGATGAGTATGAGGAGGATGAATATGATGACTATGAAGATGAGGGTTTGGAGGGTGAGAAAGAAGACGAACAAAAACAAGAGGAAGAACGAAAACCGAGCAAGGAGGAGCTTGAGTTCCTCAAGCTAAGGGAGAAGCGTAAGGAGATATATAGGCAAAAGTTGAAGAAACAAAGTGCCAAAGATTTTGGTCATTCCATTCAAACCCAAGATGGTCAAAGGACATCAACAAATACCAAGTGAGTTACATTATTTTTTTGCAAAAGCCATCAATCTTGATAAAGATGATGAATTTTGTCAATAATTTGATGAAGCAGAGCTTGTGGATTGTTGATTGATTATAGAATCTTATATCTACTCATTAAAGTTATTGAAAAATTCGAATGATTACGCACAAATTAAACTAGTTTGAATTTCAATGCCACCCCGCTTTCTCTAGATAGCTAAAAGAAATGGAGAAAGAGATGATGAAATCTGGATAGTGTGCTATCAAAACCATATTAGTCATTTTAACTTTGTGGTTTGATTATTCCTTAATAAAGGTGATCAGTGTTTGCTTGAAGCTTGGATTTCATTTATCTAGGCAATAGACCATGTTTTCATCAAAGTTTTACTATTATGTATGATTGTGGATGTTTACATGATTGTTAATGTCTTAAGATCTACTATAGAATTTACTTTTTAATATTTTTTATTGAGTTAAATATTTGTAGAATTCAAGTGTGATGGTTGAAGTGGAGGAATGCATCAGGCTTGTTGTGCGATAGAAAAGTTTCCCTCAAACTCATGGGAAAATTCTATAAGATGGTCGTGAGACTTGCAATGCTTTATAGTGCAGGATGTTGGCCATTAAAAGAGAAGCATAATATTAAGTTAAGTGTTGCAAAGATGATGCTTAGGTGGATGAGTGACTTTACTCTTAGAGATAGAATACAAAATGAGCATATATGTGAAAAGGTTGGAGTAGCTCTAGTGGAAGATAATATTAGATAGAGTCACCTTAGATGGTTTGGTCACATAAAACGGCAGCCTTCTAATGACCCGGTTAGGAGAGTAGATGTATTAGATTTGACTTATGTTAAGAAAGGTAGAGGTAGACATAAAAAAGCTTGGTTAAAAATTATTAAAAATGACATTTTTTTTATTAGATTTAAATGAGAATTTGACTCTTAACATCACACAATGGAGAAAAAAGATTCATGTAACCAATCCCACGTAGTGAGAAATGCTTGATATTGTTGTTGTTGTTGTTGAGTTGAATATTTGAATGAGTGAACCAGAGAAGTACCTGGCAATTTCTTTTTAGTTGATTGTAATTTTGTGGTATGTTGATTCATTTTAAATGATATTGCTAATTGGTGCACGACATCTAAAGCTGGTTTGGTTTGTGGAATTGTTGAACTTGCCGGAATGAGTTAATATTCCTTTTTGCTTGACTTGAACTTATCATTATAGAAATATATAATCCTTGTAAAGTCTTTTGGCGTAAACTTGGATCATTTCACTGCAGTTGACAAGCAATTATGGAACCCATTGTCGTAATCAACTTTGTTAGTTTCTCTTCTCAATCACTTTTTGTCTCTCTGCTGCCTGCAGTTCTTGCATTTGCAAAATCCAGAATGTTCTCTGCCTTATTGGCTTTGATTGTTCCTTTTTTAATGTTAGTGTATTCCAAAACTGTTTATGGTTGGCATTAAGAAGTAGTGGAATGAGAGTGAATGTTGTGATCTTATTTCTCTAGAAGGTTACATAATCTTGGTTATTGAGGTTTTTGAAAGGATGAAATTATTGTTGATGCTAATTATAAGAGGCCTACATTTAGAGTGTTTTAACCTGTAATATTAGCAAATGAAAATTAAGATTGGACCATCCTGGATTTGATTGTGTTGATTTAAAATATTTAAGGTTGGAGATTTTATAGAACAGATTTGAGATATGTTTTGTGAATTCATTTTTTCCTTGGTAATTTGTTGTTACAAAATGACAAGTTTGTGGATCATCTTTTAGGTAAATGCAATTTGATTCATTGATGCAGCATTTTCTTGTAGGTAATCTAATGGTTGACATGATAAGAGTTTGTTTCTTGGTTAGGAGAAAATCTAATGGATTTTTATTTCTTCGTTACTAAGTAATGAATTTTTGTCATTCTGATTTTTCTTCTTCTAAATCAGATATTCAACTTAAGATAAGTAGATCGGTAAAATTGTGCATAAAAAATTAGTTTACTATATGATTTTCGTTGTAAAAGATAGAGAAACATTTGATTTTCATTAATTTTAATATCTTCGAACTTAATTTTTGAATATGTATGGACAAATGGTTTTTTTATAGATAGTTAAATATTATGTAGTTCCCTCATGTTAGCGTCGTGCCTTACATAGCTCCACATTTTTTAGAACCTTTAATTCCATCTCGCAACGTCTTTGGAGATTTCATTATGGCTTCTCAGCTTGGTTTCCAATTTCTCGTAGCACATTTTTGCTAATAACGTTAAATATTTCTTTAATTTAGTTGATGCAAGGTTTAAAATTGCGCAATTAGATATTGAAGCATTTTTCATCTGTGAGGTTTGGCGTAAGCCTCAAGACTTAAGCTTCAAAATGTAAAAATTGTGTAAAATCAAAATAGAGATTTTTTAATAATAACCAAACAATATATTAAAAGATGACTTAAGAAATAAATGGTCATATATATGAAGCACAACAAAAAAAAGAAGCACAAAAATATAAAAAAGTTGCGTGAAATGTAATTGAAATCCAAACATCACAATAACCAAACAATATAAAATGTAGTTTAACTCAGAATTATATCTTTCTCAATATTCTGCCCATCGACATTTAATTCATAAAAAAAGTAATGACATAACAACTCAGAAGTCATCAATGCTGTAATCACTGAGGTGTTCTTCATTTGAATCATCTTTATCTTTAAGGTTCTCATACAATTTCTCTTCTTTGTGTGCACTTGGTTGTACGTGCTCCAATTGCATTCACATCCAAATGAAGAGCACAATAATCCCAAAAGCTTCAACAAAATGCTGCAATTTTGTAGTGACATCACCAAAGTGAATCCACCATTCACCTAAGATTTCTATAAATGAGTGTAATAAGTACTAAGTAGAATGAATTTGAAAAAAATGAGTATGTAATATATTAAAACAAAAATAAATTACTTGGAGATAGTTTAAAAATAGTGTCCTTTGCCTGTTGCAATTCAAGAAAACCCTCTTTATTCTTAAATGATACAAATTGCATGTCAGCATCTGATCTTTCAGTTGAATCAGTTATGAGGTTATCCATGCGATAATATAATCCTAATTTTATCTCAGGATTGCATGTTGATACTGATAGTTAAGATGATAGCCTACTGCATATAAGTGCTGATGAAGCTGTAGTTCCAACCTGTCATCAATTATATTTTAAATTTATCTGCAGCTGCCCTCTTTTCTTTCTAAGTTGTGGGCAATTATTTCTTTTACTTCATCCATAACATTCTACATGAAACCTATAGTAGTCTTCTTCTTGTCATCCCCATAACCTTCACCAGTGGCCTTGTGATATCATACATAACACTGACAAAATCTGTCATTTAAAACAATCTTCATAAGTCATAACCATTTTTCCCTCAAATTTTCTTGCCCAAACACAACTCAACTATTGTGCAGAGGTAAACATAGACTCCAAAGGTTTCCTAGCCTCCAACATACATTGCAAAGTCAAATAAGCGATGAAAATTTGGTTTATGCAGGCCTGATTATTTCTTTCTTCGAAAATTTTCTCATAAGTGACAAAATTCAATAATGATTATAAATAAATTTACTTATCCTCTTATAGCCTTTGTCAGTGCATTCTTGTGCTGCGGTTGCAATCCAAGCTTCTTAAATAGAAGATCTATGCAATGTGCTGCACATGGAGTTCAATGTAAATTTTTCCTCTTCTCCACAAATGTTGCCCTTGCAATGCTATAAGAACTGACATTATCTATTACCAATTGAACAATTAAGTGCTCTCCAATCTCCTTAATAATATTGTTAAGTAATCTGAAAGATACTCAACATCTTTAACATGATCATATGCCTCAATTAACTTAAAAAATATAGTGCTATAAAAGTTATTGATCAATATGTTTATTAAACTTATGCTCTTTACATCTGACTATCGATCATACATGATTGTAACACCTATCTGAACCAAAGTCCTCTTAATTTTCTTAATATTTCTCTCGGTATTGCCTAACTCGTTCAAAATTCATGTCATCAAGTCATACATGAATGGAGGTTTCAACCCTCTCCCATGCGCTTCAATTGAACGGATAATGTTGTAGTAAGAAGGGGAGGTTGCAATGTTAAACACTGTTTTGAAAACCGAACCGGACCGGTCGGTTCAACCGGTTTAACCGTGAACCGGTCCGATGGCCGGTCCGATCCAGCTTCAAAACCGGCTCTGCATAGAACCAGATCAAAGAGGATTGAACCGGCGGTTCAATCGGTGAACCGGTCCGGGTTGGAAAGAACCGGCCGGTTTATAAAAAATATTTTATTTGTTTTAATTAAAAATTTAAATATATATTTTAGTTTATTAAAATTTTCTAAACTTTTTAAAATATTTTTATTAAATATGATGATTAATTTCATCATAATACATGCAAGATATTTTAAATATCTCACATGATTTGTTTTGCAAAAAGAGTGTACATCTCACTTTATAAAGGGTTCAATGAAGCATCTTCAAACTCCCCCTATGATGTGGGATTAAAAAAGTTGCATACTTGCATGAATAGTTTAGAATGTCAATTTGGGCTAGTTGGGCTACAAATTTGGATGATATGTATTATAAATTTGCTATAATATATATTATAATAATTATGTTATAAAATATTAATATTATAAATTTATATATTATATTAAATATTATTTTATTATATTAATGATCATAAATTTTTTATATTATAAATTTATATATTATATTAAGTATTATTCTTATTAAATGATATTTATATGTATAAAATTTTATTATATATTTTAAAATTTTATAAATATTATTAAATGCTCATATAATTATATTATTTGTTTTTTATTTTATTAAATTTTAATAATATAATTATTTATTACGTCATCCGGTTCGACCCCGGTTCGACCGGTCGAACCGTGAACCTCTCCCTCTTCTGGTTCGTTGTCCGGTCCGGTTTTCACAACCTTGATGTTAAATGAGATAGCATTCTTATAAAAATAATCTTCCTATTTCCATACATACACGTATCCGTGCCTCTTTGACATTCTCTAGGTTTAGCTTCTGTGTAGTAGAGGCCTGTCTTCCTGTTTATTCTCTAATGTATTCGCCATGTACTGATCCATGGGACCTCTTGCACCCCTAGAGCACATGAGTTGCAATGATGAAGATGAATCCCAACCACTGCATTCGCTCCAGTAGTAGGAGCCCACATCAATTCTATCCTCAAACTATCTCTATGCGAGGTTCTTTGACATTACTAACTTATTCATGCATGTTTTGATCGCCACCCTTACTATATCAGGTACTTTGGCACGTGGTGTGACATTATTGTGTACCTTCATCTTGGTCATATCACCTTACATCAATTTGAGTGCTATATTTCCACACTGGGTCCTTCCTATGACCCTACGTGATTTTATCTTTGCTTTTGACCATCCTCTACAAAACCCTACAATAGTAAGTCAAGAACATAAAACATTGAAAATCATTAACAATTAATGCAGGCATTTGGCGATTATCACAAGAGCAAGGAATAATTCAAGTTAATCATCACAAGAGCAATGAACTAGGTGAGGTGTGATTGTTTAATTGGAACATTCAATAGAAGATGCATAAGCAACTCATCAGTTTTGTGTTGAAACATTCAACTTTTTTATATAAAAATTTTTAGTTTTCAATATTAATTTCATTTCATTGCTTTAAACAAAATATTTGTAGACAAACAAGAATTATTAATCTATCATAAATAAAGTCAAGTAAAGATCTAATTGTGTAAATGATTTGTTCATGAAGTCTTAGTACCATGTAATCATTAGATTTAATTTTCCAACAGTAAAATCCTATTCAATTGATCTGCTTTGGATGACTGGCTTCTATGAATTGCAATCAAAATGTTAAAAAGGGTAGATTATCTCGACTGAAAAATAGCACTTGATTAGCCATCCTACCTTCTATTGCCAAATCAAAACCCTAAATTTATAATCAAAGGTAACACGCCAAATAGTAATCAATAATCGAACCCAAACAATCTAAAATATATCTAATTACTTTTAGTTTAATCAAGCAAGAGGAAAAAAACTAACTTACCTTCGATGCAGCAACAACGAAATTGAACAGTAGTCATCAAGTCGAAGGAGGCGAAGGAGCACGTCAAAGGGGAGAAAGATGGCTATCCTCGCAGCAAGCAACAATCACATCATTACTTCCGATCCAACAGGAAGAACGCCATCGAACAATCCTTACTTTCGATCCAATAGGAAGAGCGTCGTCGAACCTTACCTTATTTCTGATCCAATAAAGAATGTCGTCGAACTGTCCTAACTTCCGATCGAATAGGAAACATCGCCAAAGAAGGCGAAGAAGCTTTTAGCGAATCATTTAAAACTCCACCCTATGAACAACAGACAAAGTCGAACAACACGACGGGATGAACCTCAGGTTTAAAGCTTAGGTTTAGGTTTTAAACCTTTTTTACTCGTTATTTTGAGACGAACTCCTGACAAAAATGAGGGGTGCGCCTAGGAAATTAAAGGCGTGAGGCGTCCTTCTTGATACGTTTCGGGCGGCAATTGCGCTGAGGTGCACCTCCACTTGCACAATTTTATATAGTGAGCTGAAGTGGCATTTTTTTTTTACCTAAACTTGAATAATTAATTTCTTAAGACCAAAATATCTTATCCTTAAGATTCTTCTCTTGTTTTAGTGTTAGGTTATTTTGCGTTGATCAATACGAATTCAGTTGCTCTGTAATGGAGATCTGAAGTGCTCTCTCAATCAAAAAGTCAGATTACTTGGAAAGAAGGCCTTTATACTTTAAAATTGAGCTCCTCATTATAGTTGAGGTTGACCTTCTCACTTCACCGACATTGTAGAATAATAGAAAGAAGGATATGAGAGGTGGAGGTGGTGGGAGAGGAGTGGAGGACAACAAGGACTTGTCAGTGATTTGCTATGTTGGGATTGCCGAAGGAGGTGAAGTTGCTAGAGATCTCTGTACATAACTTATATTAGCAGGTGGGATTTCTACTTAAAAATAAGAAGGAAAAAATAGGGTACTATTTGCATCTTTTTGCTCATTTGATTGTATTTTTTAACGTAAGGACTTATTTGAAGATGACCCAAATGTCAAGGTTCAAAGTGGACTGTTTTCAAAAAACTGGACAGAAATGAAGCACAGCCCATAAGTGAGGTATTTGCGTGATATTTACCTTTTTTTTTTTTTTGAATTTCTGGCCATTTCTTATTGCTTGAGTGCCTTTATGTTATTTTGCATGCGTATTATGGCAAACCATCATTCATATATGTTTTTTATTTGACACTTGTCAACTAGCAGGAAATGACTTTCATTAGAAAAATATTAGAAATGACCTTTCTTTATTAGATTTAAATGAGAATTTGACTCTAAACAGAACACAATGGAGAAAATGATATATGTAGCTGACCCCGCGTAGTGGGATAAAGGCATGATATTTTTATTGTATTTGTCAACTAGCAATTGTTTCTTGAGTGATTGAAGAAAGTCACTTAATTAGAGAAACATGATATTATGTAGATCGCTATAATTGTACTTAAAAATTGATTGTTATAAAATTGTTTTTTGTAACAAAAAAAGATAGAGAAATATCAGAATTCATGATTTTTCTACCTGTGGCCATGCATGAAAAAACTGATGTTTAATTATAAATTAAGTCATTCATTTATAACAGTTTCTGGATGTTGTTTTGCATGTGTTGCAACAAAATTTTATTGCAGATTTGGTTCCTTCTTTGGACCTTCTCAACCAGTCATTGCTTCTCGAGTTCTTGATGAAAGCCGCTCAATAAGAGAAACCCAACATATTATTTCCAAGCCTTCAAGTTCTTCCGGGGTTTGTATTATGAAAAGTGCTTTAGATATTGTTGTTTCATGCTGATTGTTTGTAGAGCTTTTTACTCTTTAGAATTATGAATTATGCATTGTTTTTGCAGAATCAGAGAGTTTCCGCCTTTGCATCCTCAGAGAGAAAGTTATCTGAACATCACCAGCCCCTGAAAATTAATGAGGTAAACTTGGAATTAGCATCAAGTCATTTTCATTTTTTTAGCTTGTCCTCACAGTTAAAATCACTTTTGCAGGTCAAGAGGAAAGCACAAACTCTAAAAGACATGCGTGATTATTCATTCCTTCTATCCGATGATGCCGATTTGCCTGACAACAAGGAACTGCAGCCTGCATCACGCCATGTTTCTGCTCCAAAGCCTGGTATGCTAGCATCTTTATCCTTTAGATATTGTCTTTGAAACTTTTCAAACAAATTTAGTATTTTCATGGAGGGATACTCACACAGATTTCTCCTCATTTGGAAGATGCTCGGTCAGCTCAGGCAGCATTAAAGAGCAAGATCCCTATAAGCGGATCATTGAAATCTACTTCCAATGGCCATGGCATTAAAAATGCCTTACAGACAGCTAGGCCGATGCAGACCAAGCTGCCAATGAAAGGAACTCATCTGAGCAGACCACTTCCATCTTCATCCGAACCTAAAAAAATTCCTGGTGGTAAAGTTAGTGGAATTGGTCAAAGCAGGTCTGTAGTGCCTAAACCTTTAGCTGTGACATCCAAGGTTTCTGTGCAGTCAAAGGTTCCTGTTGAGGTTATGGGTGCAAACAAACCTAGTTCTAAATCTATGAATGGTTTGACCTTGAAAAATAATATTTCGACGACAAAGCCTCATTCTTCCACACAAAATTACTACACTGAGCAAAAGAGAGCAAGTCAAGCGGCAGATAGAGTTAAAGCAGCACCTAAACCGGCACCACCTTCCTCAACATCTCAGGTGATCTCTTCCCTCTGCTTAAATGCTAGCCTGATGCTTATGCTTATTCTGTCACTAACTATTGCTTTCTCATTAAAGCCGCCCAAACCAATTTCATCACGAAATATTCGTGACGAGTCTCTAAAAAAGAAGCCTGTTAGAAGAAGATCAGATGAAGATGATGATGCTGATGCTATCCAAATGATCAGAAATATGTTCCGGTTTGTAACCTGCACCTTGATTTTCCATAAAAAAATAATGCTAATATCGACCTGGTTTTGGTAGTTTGTTTATTTGATAGGAAATACTTGAAATCAAGTAATTCCTAGCCAAAACTGAAGCGGAACCAGGGAAAAACTGCTGTCTCCAGCAGTGGACAGCAGTTTTACACAGGAAAACAGTGAGGAAACGCGAGAAAACTGAGATCCAATGCAAGTAAAGGCTAGTATTTTATTAGTTGACGAATAAAATTGCAAAGATACAATTTGTTCTTCAATTCGAGAGGAAGAACGTACTCTCCAAAGTCTCCGGCGAAGCCAAGAGCCCAAAACAAAACCTAGATCTCAAAGAGAAAACTCAAATTCAAGATAAGATCCAAATTCCCCCCCAAACTCCTAATTATACAAAATTAATCATAAAGGACAATAATAAACTTCCTAAAACAGCCTTCTCATTCAAAATTTCCCTCCTAATCTCCCCCCCACGCTGCCTACGTGGATTCACGTTTCCGCCCAGGCGGACTGCGTCTCGCGTAGACGCGGACCGGTCCAACCGGCCCATCCTGGGCCGGTCTAACACCCCCGCCTGCTGTCTCCAGCAGTGGACAGCAGTTTTACACAGGAAAACAGTGAGGAAACGTGAGAAAACTGAGATCCAATGCAAGTAAAGGCTAGTATTTTATTAGTAGACGAATAAAATTGCAAAGATACAATTTGTTCTTCGATTCGAGAGGAAGAACGTACTCTCCAAAGTCTCCGGCGAAGCCAAGAGCCCAAAACAAAACCTAGAACTCAAAGAGAAAACTCAAATTCAAGATAAGATCCAAATTCCCCCCCAAACTCCTAATTATACAAAATTAATCATAAAGGACAATAATAAACTTCCTAAAACAGCCTTCTCATTCAAAATTTCCCTCCTAATCTCCCCCCCACGCTGCCTACGTGGATTCACGTTTCCGCCCAGGCGGACTGCGTCTCGCGTAGACGCGGACCGGTCCAACCGGCCCAGGATGGGCCGGTCTAACATTATACTTGCATATTCCCTTTGGCTCTAATGAAATTACTATTTCATCAAAGTGATAGTCAATAACTGAAGTTGATAAAATTTATGAAATGTTTTTTCAGAAACAGTTCTAATAAAGGATTTGTACTTACATAGCTCACCTTGGTCTGTTGGTTGGAGCTTAGGCTATCAACTAAGAGGTGTTGGGTTCTAGTTTTGTGTATGTGATGTGTGTGTGAGTTTGTCTTAATTGGCCTAAATGTCTCAATAATAAAAAAAAATCTGTATTTAATATTAATAATGCTTATCCATTATGATAACTTTGGTAACAGTGGTGTGCTTAATCATTGTCAAGTGCATTTGACACTTACTAATTAATATCTATTGGGTTTCATGTCAAATGTGGTTGTTTATGCATATGGGATGGACCCATTCTTCAAAATTGGGAGCAGGGTTGTGTTTTTTTTCCTGTAGGTGTGATGTTATATGATTTAGGATTTCTAATGCAACTAGGATGTTACAATGAATGTAGACTACACAAGCAATTATGATTCACATATTAAAGACTACTAAATACACAAAAAGCTATCTTTCTCTTTAGGCCCATACATTATAAGAATTATAACCAAAGTGATAGTGCAATGATCGAGTAACTTTGAAGAAACCAACAGGAAATTTGAATCACAAAAATATAGGAAGCAAATGAAATTTTTGATCCCAATAAAAATCTCAATTATATCAAATTTGAATAATATCAAGAATTCTAGCAAAGCTAATAACAATATATTTTGAAGATAATGGATAAAAGAAAGAGAACATCCTAGAATTTGGTACAAGGAGTTGTCTCCCCGTAGAATTAGGTAGTCATTTGTTTTGCACTTGACAAAATTGTTTATCCAACTTGCAGGAAAGATTCCAAACTATTTCAAAATAATTTATTGAATAAAAAACTCTTGACTGCATGCCTTAGGAATTTATTTATAGACTCTATATTGCTCAAGGTTTATTTTAAATACTTAATTCAATCTTCCTAGCAAAATCCTAAATCCTATGATTGGGGTATATGTAACAAAGATGCCACACGAAATTGCATGAATATATGGATTGATGCTACAATTTTGTGAGAGCTACATTCCCTCCAATGGAAATATTAAAATAGATGGCCAATGCTATTATCTCCCAAGGAATACTATATGAATAGGTGTTATTGTTATAGGCTTCGTTTGGGACAGCTTTTTTGTTGCTTTCTAAAACAGCTTTCTAGTAAAAATTTCTCAAGAAATTTTTATACTAGAAAGCCGTTTTAGGAAGCAATACGAAAGCTGTCCCAAATGAAGCCATAGTCTCGCATCTATTTGTTTGATGTAAAAAAATTCAAATATGATAAATTAATCGTATGATATTCATTAAGCAAATCTAGACATAAACTTTGTGCTCCTTTTTTTTTTTTATAACTTTGTGCTCCTTGCATAGTTATCATGACTAATTATAAATAGGTTAGTTACACCGACGCACAAGTTATCTTTGGAGTCCATCTTTAGTTGTGGATGGAATTTGTCACTTAGATTATCCGTTTCAGAAATAAGTTGTATAGATTTATTTAGCAATTTGTTGAATGCAAATTTATAAGGAGTCACAAGGAGAGAAGAATCCAAAAAATTTGCACAAGTTCATGAATCAAAGGTAAATTACTCACATTGAAAATTGGATCAAGTACACATTTTTTTTTTAATTTCTAATTTAAGTGTGCTATTTATAATTTTTTGTAGGATTTTAAGTTAGATATATTGAAAATTGGATTAAGGCCTAAATTTCTTGATATTTCTAAATCATAGGCATTAATTTCAATGTGCTGTAAGATTTTCAAATGACATCGTCTTTCTTATTTTTTATATTCTTTAAGATTCCTTAGCGAAACAGTTCCGAATTTAAATACGACATTATTTATCACTAGTTTTATACTCCATGTAATTTCAATTCAAATTATTGTAAAACTTATACTTGTTATAGTTGTTAAATCTCAGCCATCTCTTGGCATTTTGATCCTACTGTTAGGATGAGAATCCATGGGAGGCTCACTTTGATTGCATCGATCTCCACTATCTCTTGCCATTTTAATCTCACGGCTAGGATGGAGATCCGTGGGAGACTCACCTGGATTGCGTCGATCTCTTTCCATATTTTGGTGACTGATTTGGGAAGGATTATATCAGAGCAATTATGTATGATTATGTAATTATTTGTTTCTTTATTAAGATATCTTGTATAGATCTATAAATAGGAACAGGTGTGAGCAATAAAATTAAAGCCTTTTTCCTCTCCATTTTTTTTAAATTTAACGTGGCATAAGAGTCTAAAGAGATATAATCTGTGAGTTCCACCACTTGCCTTCATTGTTATTCTTATTTAGAGACTAAAGAGAAGGAAGTAGAGAGGAGCAAGCGGCCTTTATTGCCACCCTTCTCTTGCTATTGCTACTACTCTTATAACGAACATAGCCTTCATTGCTACCCTACACTTTGCTGGCTTTGATTAAAATAGCCTTTATCACTATTCTTTTTCCACCAAAATATCTGAAGCTAATTCCTCCCAAAAATATATGGAGGATTCTATGGCGAACCAAGGAAGAGGAGATCTCCAAAATTTGCAACATTCCTATCACTTAAATGAGAAGAATTACTTGAAGTGATCTCAATTGTGAAGACCTACTTGAAAGGGAAAGCAAAGATGAATCATCTCGTAGGAGTAGGACAAAAAACAAGATCTAATTTTTGGGCATGGGATGAAGCATACTCAATGATCATGTCATGTTTATGAAATTCAATGACTCCGTAAATTGGCATACTTTCATGTTCCTATAACTGCAAAAGACATATAGGATGCCGCCGGATAAACCTTCTTAAAAGCTCGGGATGTTGCAAAAATCTTTGAAATTAAAGTTAAGGTGGGAAGTATAAAATAAGGAAGCAAGATCGTGATTGAGTATGCCACTCTCCTTCAAAGCTCGTGGCAAGAACTTGATCGCTGCAGATGCATAGAGATCAAGTGTCTAGAAGATACTGTTATCCTAGAAAACTTATTTATACAGATAAATTGTATGACTTTTTTGTATGATTAAATGCGAGTTTGATGAGGTAAGAGTTGCAAAGAGGAGACACTTTCATTAAATGAGACCATATCTCTCATTCGTGCTGAGAAAAGCTGACAAGGGGTAATATGGAGCCAAAGGTAGTTGAATGTTCAACATGGTGTCAACCAAAGAGGCGTCATGGAAGGGAAAAAGGTAGGATTCCCCAAAATCTAAAAACAAAGACTCTCTTTGGTATAGCTATTGCAAGAAATCAAGACACACAAAGGAGACGTGCTGAAAGATACATGGAAAGCCCCAAAGTTAGAAGTGAAATAAAAAAAGTGAACACAAGGGCTTATCACTAGCCAACACTACAACAAGTCAACCCAACCCAAAAATGCAGTCCAGATTCATAGAGCTCAATAAAGAAGATATTGATAAATTAAAATAACTTATGGTATCTCTTGAAAAATCACATGCATTTTCTCTTGCACTTTCATGTAAGTTTCTTATATCCATTAGATAGAAATTATTTGAAAGGATTATGGATCATTGACTCAGTAGTCATAGATCACATGATACACTTTATTATTCATACTCGTTGCCCAAGTTATAAGAAAATCATCACTGCTGATGGTTCTCTTATTACAGTAACATGCCAAGGAGATACCTTTATCTCCATCTCTCACTCTTAAAAATGTGTTCCACGTATCTCAATTATCCACAAACATAATCTCTATACAAAAAACTTACTAGTGACCATGTCAAGTCTTATTTAACCATGCTTGTTGCTTATTTTATGACCAGGGATCGAGGAAGAAGATTGTACTTGCTAAGGAGAGAGATGGACTGTACTATCTGGAAGAGCTGAATAAATCTAATATTATCAATAATGGGTATTCTATGTATCCCTATTTGATAAAAAATGCCATTTGACTTCACTATTTTAGATTAGGACATCCATCTTTTGATATTTTTAGAAATATATACCCAAACTTTTTTATAAGTTGGAAAATGAATATTTTCATTGTGAAACCTATGAGTTAGTCAAGCATAAACGAGTTTCTTTTTCAATTAAACATGAGAGATGTAATACTCCATTTTACCTTATTCATAGTGATATCTTGGGATCCTCAAGAATCCCTAACATCTCAGGGGCCCAATGGGTTTCATATTTCATTGATGAATGCACTCGAGTCTCTTGGATCTTTCTCCTAAAAACAAATTTGACAGCATTATCAACCCCATTTTTCATACCATGATCTAGAACCAATTCGGGGTAAAAATAAAGAAATTTCGTTCTGATAATGCTAAATATTATTTAAACCAAACACTATCCTCTTAGTTTAAAAAAGAAGGTATCATTCATGAGTTTTCTTGCATTCTCACACCACAACAAAATGGAATTGCATAAAGGAAGAATGGTCACCTTCTAGCCTTTACCGATGCACTTCTATTCCACCACAATGTACCCAAATCTTATTGGGGGGAAGCCCTTCTAACTACCACATATCTCATAAATCAACTAACTTCAAAGTTCAAACACCTTGAGACTAAAAACACTAATGGATATTCTATTCTCTTTTTACCTCGAATTCTGAACCCATGATAACCTTACACCCAAAATATTTGGGTGCACTATCTATGTTCACATTCACAGCCAAAATAGAGGAAAACTAGATCTAAGAGCACTCAAATGTATCTTTGTTGGATATTCATCCCTTAGAAAAGTTACAATTGTCATCATCCCTCCACCAAGAATAATACTCTTGTATCTATTGACGTTTTCTTTGGAGAACAAAGACCTTTTTCACCAAACCTTATCTTCAGGGGAGATTGAAACTGTGGAAGTTGAGGAAAGTGAGTTTGTCCCTCTTGACCTTTTAGCTCCATCTCAAAGCAATCCACCTAAAGCTAAAATCAAAGCATGGATATTGAAAATCATGCATTTTTACAAATCTAATAATTATCTTAAAAGAATAAAGTAACTTGTGCATTGTGTGTGCCATAATATAGCCACTTGGAATTCGACAGAAGCAGAAAATATGAGCTATGCTTTTTGTTTGAATTTCAATAGTTGGGCGTGGTTAATGTCAATAGGCAAGATTTTGGTGTTAAGCAAAAAATTGCCTTAATTATGGTGTTGTAATAGAAGATCTTAATATGTCTCAACATTTATAGGTGAATTGTAGCTTAGATCATTTCTAAGCTCTCGTTCATAACCTTTAAAATCAAGTATTGGAAACAAAATAATCTAAAAGCAAACTATATTTAGTTACAAGATGCGTGAATCTTGCATAATCACTAGAATCTTTTTGTTTATAACTCTCAAATTGATTATGCAGTTCATCCTTATATTCACTATATGGTCTATATGTTTATGTTTCTGATAGCCTATGCTGATTTCATTTCACTACGACAAAATAATTTAGTATGACTCATTAATATTTGTTTTAGCAACTTTAATTTATTTAATTGTAGGATTAAAAAAACTCCCAAATTATTGGTGCACCTTGAAATTTTCATTGATTATATCTCTCATAAAATGTAGGAATGTAGTTTTAAATCTCAGAATAGTTGTGTTGTTTTGGCTAGAATCATAACTTATCCTATTCTGTTTAAATTGCATCAATAGTTAAATTCTTTTAATTGACACAATTAAATTTCTTTTTTTAGTAATGCAATGATGAAATAAAAATAAATCACAAGGAATTAGAATTCCAGATTAAAGGTTACTAAATATATAAAAAAGTTGCTTTCTTTAGATGCTAGTGATTGAATACAAGATCTATAACCAAACAATAATATAATTTTTGATTAATTATATTGAAAATAACAAGAAATTTGAACCACTAAAGTCAAGAAGAAATTGGATCTTTTTCACCATAACTAAAATACCAATTTGTATCAAATTTGAACAAATCCAGAACTCTAGCATGCTAATAATAAGACACTTAAAAGAAATTTTATTTTGAAAAAAGAGATAACTGTAGTGAAGTAAATCTAGACCACACGCCAGTGCATAAAGATGAAAATATGATTTATCGTGGAATTATATAGATACACTTCTAAAGCACATAGAGGAATCACGCAGCTAACATGTACACAAGATTGACAGCTTCAATAAAAAAAATTATTGAAACTAAGGATGCCTATTTCATGGCTGAAGAATCTATTTATAGATTCCACATGGCTAGGAGGGTTTAATTAGCCATACCGAATCCAATCCTCCCACCACTACTAAAATCTCGACACTAGTGAAGACGCAATGATGAAATCACACTGCACCTCAGGAATAAGTGGATCTACACTACAATTCTGTGAGTACTGCACTCCTGTGAATGCATTACAGTCCTGCCAAAGGAGCCGTGGAAATAGAAGGGCCAATGCTACAGTTTTGGAAGGATTACTGCAGGAATAGACAGACGCTCCTGCCACAGCTCGAATATCTCCTTAATGGAGCAACATTGATGGCTATAACCTATAATCACTGCCCCCAACCTACAGCTGGGAACTGTAATTACATTGGATTCTTGTCCAAGTCTGCGTTTTACTTTTTACCATTTTGTTTGATATAAGTATTGTTTTGCATTTTCTTTCATGCATCGTAGACACTCTTGGGGTTGGGGTTATAAGTTTGATAAATTACTAAGGAATGATGAGATGCTGGTTGCAAACATAAATGGATTTTCATGACAATTGCTACCTTTTATGCAGGTATAATCCTAGCAAATATGCAGATGCGGATGATGATGACAGTGACATGGAAGCTGATTTTAGTCAAATTGAAAGGGAGGAAAGGAGGAGGTATGTACTTTCATTTAAGCATTAGTGATGTTTGTGACAATAAAGAGCGGATATGAATTTAGATTAGTCAAGAGGATCATCTTTATTATGCCTATATTGATATGACAAATGTTTTAATGCTGATAAATTCTCTAGTAATGACATGATTTATGCCATTTTATCTTTGCGAGCCATTATGGTTTAACTTGAGGTGGTTGTAGCAAAATTTCATGAAGGACTTTAAGGTGCACACCAATCAAGTCCCAAAATGACTCTCAAGATCAAGATAATGAGTTATTATTGACCAATACTGATGCAAGATTATATTGACCATACCAAGAGGTGCTACGAGAGTCAGATTCATAGTGATTTTATATATCAGTAGTCATATCTGCTACACCCTACAGTAACATCCTGGCCATTCAAATGCTGGGATGCCGATATAATCGACCCGATAGACCCACCATCATCAGCTGGACACAGCTTCATTGTAGCATTGATTGATTACTTCTCTAAGTGAGCAAGAGGCTTCAGTTCAAAGAAGTCACATCTGAGCATGTTATTAATTTCTTGACCCACAACATTATTTATTGATTCTGTATGCTTATGGGGTAGCAATAAATGAACGATTGATCTTTGCAACCATCCTGAAGCAGTTTTCTGGTCAATCATTATAGTGAACTATCCTGAACTATATTTCGATTGCCATATGATGAGAAAATGCATCTTTCTAAAATGGCATAATGAAATAGATAAAATAATGGCTGATTATACTCTTTGATTTATTTTTTCATAATGAAATAGCTAAAATTAATCTGCCGTTCCAGTTCTCAGATTGCTAGGAAAGAAGATGAGGAGCAGCTTCGTCTGATCGAGGAGGATGAAAGGCGAGAGAGGATGCGAAAGAAGCACAAATCAAATATGAGGTGATGAAGGCACTGCAGTTCTGTTCCTTTGCCTGCCCGTTCGTCGCGAAAGAATGGAAATGTCTTGCAATCATCCACCGTTTACTGGACGATGAATAATTCTTCTTCCAAAAGACCGAGGTTGGAAGATCAAATTGATTCTGAATTAACAAATAACGCTGTTATTGTAGAAAGGCATGTCAACTCAGCAGTTTGAGCACGGTTCAGTGGCTCAAGCTCGAGCAATGTATATTTTCCCAAATTTATTATATTTGTGGATGAGTTAGAAATTCACACAGTTGGAGAAGTGAATCTCTCTCTCTTTCTCTCATCATTTGAACTAAAAGTTCAGCTCTTGTTTTAGTCTGTATCGGTTGGTGGTTAAGAGATGGCTTCAATTTGTTGAATAGATGTGTAGATTTTTGGTTGAAGATTGTATGTCTTGAGTAACGCCCAAAGTTCCTTTGGCATTCTTCTTCACCTGGATTTGATCAGTGAGAATCCTGGAACTTAATGAAATCTTGGTGCTGCCCCTTGCCAGATACTTGCCATCCTTCTACTTAAATATTTGAATTGTTTAAACTGCATGTAAATTTATTGCTCTGTTGTTCTTGCTCTGTATGTTTCATTATAATCAATTTGATTTATTGGTTGAGAGTTTTGGCTAATAATTAAGAGGTTTTGGGTTCATGTCTTATATATGTGATGTGAGTATGAATTTGTCTTAATTGATCTAAATATCAAAAAAAAAAAAAAAAGGGTTAATTCACCTTTGATGTATGTGATAATATGTGGGATAATATTCTTTTATATATCATCGAAGTATAATTTTTGACATGCAGTGTAAATCTTGAGATAATTTAGAACCTTTGTTTAATTAAAGTTTTGTTTGAGATAGTATTTGATCATTATTTATTTGCTGTTTTCAAAAAAAAATTGTTCTAAAAAAATATTTTAAAAACCGGTGAGAAAGTTGTCTCAAATAAATCCTAAATTAAATTTTAAGTAAGCTTGAGATTGTGCGTTTAAACCAAATGACTTTAGAATGCTATGGAAAGTTTGTGACTGTTTAGATTGCTTTTGTTGGGGATTAATTAATTTCTAAGTGATTGATCTTGTTTGATGTGCCTTGTTGGATTGGCCATGGCTTGCTTTTATTTTTGAATTTTGAGTTTGTGACGAGTTTTTTATTGCTTCTTAAAGTAGTTTTTAATAATATTAAAAAGCTGCTTATTAAAAAGCTGTTTATTAAAAAGCTGTTTTAAAAAACAGTAAAAATTTATCCCAAACGAAGTCATAATCATGACTTGACATTCACTGTATGTGCAAGTTTTCGAAGTTAAGATGTCTTGATTGGCAGTTTAAGCCCTCAATTAACAAGTTAAGAGGGTTGCATGTTAAAGTCATCTGCTTCCTCCTACAGAGGAAGTGTTGAGGGACCCCAATGGGGTGATAATGAAAATTTCATGAATGATCTCTTCATGGTGGCTGTTGGATTGTGTATCTTTTAGTTCCTGAGTAAATAATTTTAGAAGATTGAAAATTTTTCAAATAAACATGTTTGTTGGGCTTTTAATGAACCATTGAATTATGCTCTAGTTCTAGTTCTTATTAATAAGATTAGAGAGGGATTAGAGAGGGAGTTATAGGTAAATTTGAATTATGGAGGTCAACTTTAGAGTTTTAAGGTTTCTATTTAAGTAGATTTAAAATTGGTACTTGAAATGTAATTTTAGTAATAAATGTTTCATATTGTTGTATTTATCTTTAAATGTTTTTTTTGGATTCTTTTTGTATACTTACATGTGCCTACATAAGTATTTAACAGATAGATGATGGCTTATAACAAAGGGGTTCACTCTCAAAGAGGGTCCACCTAAGAAACTCGCTTGATGATTTTGGAGGCGTTCCTCCCTTGGAGGTACCATGGAGGTTGCATCGCATATGGTGAATTGAGGATTTTTTCACCAAGTAGCAACTTGGCACACATTGTATACATGGATCACCTCTATAATAATTGGCTATCTCTTATAACGATTATCCTTATATAAACTTACCAAGCTCAATTATAGGAAAATACTTACTCATGGGGTCTTACCTCACCTTGCCATGGCCAGCCAGTTTAAAGCTCTCCCTTCCTGCAGTTACATTTACATCCTCTCTCTTAGGGCTATTAGAGATCTCCCACTCTAGTTGTTGAAAACATCAACAAGTCTTCTAGTCACAGGTTCCCTCATTGTAGCACTCGCCAACTAACTAAGTATACTCGCATGCTCAACACTACCAAACTCACAATTATGTACTAGACATTACTAACGTCGCCCATAGATAGATAATCAATGTTCTTCATATCTTGCTGTCCTCCATCTAACCAAGAGACAACTCATGTCTAAGGTAGTCTATGTATTGTTATATTGAAATTCTATGCGGTTTTGTACTTATTTTTTGATGTAACATTTTCTTTAGCCCTCATAACCCTATAAATAAGGGGGCAATGAGGAATATTTTGAGACTTTTTGACTGCTTTTGTTGGATTTTATCGAGTTTAAGACTTATAATTTTTTTTAGCATTTTGCAAATTTTCTTTTCCTCTCTTTCTCTCTTTTTCTCTCCATTCTCATACAGGTTCCTGGTCACTCACTTATAGAGTCAGCTTATTATTATGGCCAAGTGTCATCCACGGGCAAAATTGGATTTAACCTAGTAGAGGCAGTGGTCCTGTGAAAGAGAGATAGTTTACAGGTGCACAGAGAAAGTATAGTCATTTCATAGCTCCGACTCTAATTCAGTCACGTGTATATAGTTTGACTCAACTAGAGACTAAGGTTTCTCCTAATGTGGTGACATATATGGCTTATATTTTAGCTACACATTCTTGTAATTTATTTGATTATGGTGTTATTCATTTATTTATTTATAAGAGAGATTTCAACCTACTGCGTTTACCTTTTGTATTATTATCTTTTGTCCTATTTGTTCTTCTACCTTTTAGAGATAAAATGATAGCTACTAGATTTTATCTCTATGAGTTAGAAAATTTTGATGGAAAATGGAAGTCTAGCTTGTAAGTTTTGCCTATTTCTAGGTTTAATATCATTTTTAGCATGGATTGGTGAAGTTGACATAAGGCTCAAATTGATTGTTTGAAGAAGAAAGCAACTTTATTTTTGGAAATTGGGTTTTATATTTCAGGGAGCGAGAAGTGACTTGTCATTTCTGATATTGACACTAAAAATAGATTAATTATGGAAGAAACATAGTTCTATATTTCTAACTTATGTTGGAGATATGTGAATACATTTTGGATCATTGAATTGTATTTTTGTGGTACGAAAATTGTTGGACTTTTTTTTCTGAAGAGTTGGTAAACTTACCACATGTTAGGCTTTCAGGATGTTAAATTTTCTATAAAGATAAACTTTACCTAAGCAAGATAAAATAAACATATGATTTAAAATCAATCAATTTTTTAAAACTAATGTATGACCACTCTTGGGTTAATTTTTAAAATGTAATTAATATTTTAAACCTAGCTCACTTCATAATGACTACTAACATGTTCTGATTAGCCCTATCCAAGCATGTATATAGCATGAGTTAAAGCATATAAATTTTCTATTTTGTCACTTAGAGGGATAGTTCACTTTTGTATAGCATAGTGCCATTCATGGTCGAGCTTGAAGCCTATTTCGCTTCTATGCCCCCACCACTCTTACATATGTATAAGATCATACTCCATAGATTTGACATGCTAGGTGTAGTTTAACTGGTATCATTTTTCGAGCAGAGTAGTAAATCCATGTCAAGGCTGCTCAATATATCCCTGGTGGGGATAAGTTATAAGTATTCTAGGTGTCTTGTATTAATTAGGTCATGAGCATTAGGACTGAGTGTGTAATATGCCCTTTGTAGATCTAGGGTGCAAAGGCTGGCGAAATGGGTATATCACTACATGCTTTATCATTGGATAAGTTATTTATTCTTAGGAGGCTATAAACCTTACATATCTATGTCACATTGATGTCATTGCTTCCATCTTTCTCTCATGCATGCTTTATATATAACGAGTTCTCCTTTTGACCAATTGAGTGATTATATGATTATTGTATGTTAAATAGCTTGATTGAGCCTATTTTAATTTGGATTAAAAAAGCCTAGAGATTTCACCACGCACCAATTAAGAAGAGAATAAAATAATACTCATAATTGAGGGTATTTTTATATCATGACCTAAGATGTAATTAATCACGGGGACTTACGCCCATGAAAAATTGACACCCATACCAAATAAATCTCATTCAGGCTGATATATTGAATGGAGGAAATCTCATGATTATTGAGTCATATATATTATTATCCATCATATTATATAAGTAAAAGTTAATATTTTATATGGATAATTATATGTATGATTCCATCTCCTGTTTTATTAGTCTGCTTGCATAGAGTATAAATGTCTATGCTCATTCTGTCCTACGTAATAGTGCGATCATACTCTTTATATTTTAAACCCTACAAGTTAACTCCTTTCGGAGACCTACATTTATCTTTTAAATCTTTACTAGAGCTTATATGAAATAGCAATATCTCAAACTTCACTATATTCATTCACCAAAATTATATTTACAATAACCAGAAGATCACTAACAATTAATAATATATCAATTACTTCTGACTATAAAATAATAAAATAATATATAAAATAAAATCAAAAGAAGAGTCTAATGATCTCAATATTAGTCTATCTCTATATTATCCTGACCCATTTCCTAATATAAAATTAATAAAATCACCTAGTGAGCTTACAAAGTACTGATTCAAATTAAAATTTATTGAAGCTTTCAATGCAAGACTTAAAGAATCAATATATATGCTCATCTTAATTAATAGAATTAATAACATTCAATATCATCTATGCTTAGTCATCATTGGTGTGATTCAATACGATCAATAATAAAATAAAATTCATTACGCTGATATCTATACATCTACAATAAGTGTAATAATATAAATGCACCAGTAATCAATAAATCAGTATAATTGGGGATAACACATTAGTAAGTAAGAAATATGTGAACATATAGGTGTCAAAGTCATCAATCCTGCCTATCTTATCAATTATTATGAAATCAGTACATGTAATACAAATACGTCTCCATCTATCTATCATTGCTATCATATTATTAATGCTATCAATACTATCAATGTATTAATTGCATCATTATATGATTAAACAAAATATAAAATCCAACTTTAATGTGATGTTTTTATATGTTATCTATCAAACCTATTCATTTGTCAAATCATATAATATATTTCATTTTTTTATTTATCATTTTATTTTCACATGTGACTTTTAATAAATCATTAATGGTCATTACCCTTTACCCATGAGTATAATTATGTTAATCACTTACATGTTATAATCAAGATAATATTATAAATCATCTTTAAAGGAAAGTCTGTTGGCTCACCCTCCTACGCAGGGTATTATATTTTAACAATTAATTCAAATTAATTATAATGTTAACAATCATTCTTCCTTGCTTATATGCATGTCATACATATATTTTATATCGATCATATCAATCTGCCATTTATATATGAAATGCATTATAAAATGCTGAAATCGATAAATTTAAGAAAATATGTATAATAATTATTAGATTCAAAAAATTATAACTTTTATTTTAACTAGTGAAATTAAATAATATTACAATCATAATATCCATAAAGTCTGTATCTATCATATTTGAAAAGTTACACAGCAAAAGTATGATAAATAAAAAATATATTTTTATCTATTTAGAAGATATTAATTTCACCAAACTCAAAATCATGGAACACCATAGTGAGATTCAAGTTATTTATAACAATCAAAAGACTTTTTATAATAGAAGAGATGGATAAAAATGACCAAAACTTGCTTTCTCTCTTTTCAATCTCCTCTTCTTATCATTTTCCCTCTCTTCTTACATGGCAAGAGATTGAAATGGGTATAGTGGAGTCATTGGGGGTGCTTTAGTGCTTAGGATTTAGAATATAATATTATATAAAAATATTGTTAGTGGCCTAACATCCCAGTGCTCCAACCCATTGCCGCATATTGAATCCAAAATTACTATAAAATAGAGGCTTTAATGCTCGACGTTAGTTTTCAGCATCGCTGTACTCTTAAGCCTAGTGTCATAGTGCTCCAAAGCATGACACTTAAGCGCTCTAGTTTAAATAGAAATTTTGTTTTTTATTCTAAAATACTTAATCATACTGTGGGTTATTACACCTTACCCTTGTTTGAAAAATATGCAAAAATCACATAATAAGCACATATCTAGCAAATAACTAATATCTGCCATACAGGTCAATGCATCAAATAGAAATAGTAACCATATAACTGAAACAATCAATAGGAGCAGTACCATATATTATGTAATTCATATATCGCCTTATTATGTTCATATGAATCATATCATCGTAATATATCATATGTTCATATTAATACCCATTCAATTTAGCTGCATATCAATCATGCCAATAAATCAATCTTATCAACAACCAATTAATCACCGTATATCATATCTCACATGTCATCAATCTTATAAATCACCAGTCTTATCAGTTACCAACCTTACTAGTTATCAGGCTTATCAACCATCAATCATTTGTTACATCGATCATTAGTTATCTATTATATTTATCATTAGTCTATCACATCTATCATCGATCTATTTATCATGTTTGTCATTGATATATCTATCATATCTGTCATATTTATCATCTATTTTATCTGTCATATCTATCATCTGTCGTCGATCATATCGATCATTAGTTTTCTGCCTTATCTATTATTAGTCTTATCAATTTGCAATCTTATACATTTTTACTAATTAGTCATATAATACTCATTAGTATTCTCAATCATATAACACATCAATTCATTCATGTTATTGTACATATCATATCATTCATATACATATTTCTTTATATATCATATGTAGTTGGCATAACCTGTAGATTTATATATTATACTCATTAATGTGCACGATTTATGCTAAATGAACATTAACAATATGGTACATATCATATATCTCATATCCAGATTTTGCACATTTGCTTATGATCATTTTATACCCAGTCATTTTCTACTCATTTCATATAAAATAACATATATCCAAAATAGATCGGTGAAATTTTGATATAAACCAGCCAAAACATTCAAAATAATCATATCCATCACATACCAAAGTTACATAGTAAAAGTTCACTAAAACAAGAGATATCATATTTTTGTTGCTTTTAGGAGGGAGAAATATTCCAAACTTAAAATCATCAAAAATAACAGTAGAGCAGATGTAATTAAAATGATCATAATAATTTTCATAGCATGAGTGAAAGACGAACAAGCACCAAAAAGCTTTCCCTTGCTTCTCTTCTCCCTTCTTTGCTTCCTCGGCAACTAAATAGAATGAGGGGGTATGGGGTGGTGGTGAGTGATGTTTAATAGAACATATTTTAAAAAATTGATTTAGTGCCCAATAACGTGACGTCCAACTTCCCAGTACTGCTGCATTGCATATTGATCTGAGAATTATTATAGAATAGAGCTTGTGATGTTGGGGCAACAACTCCTTGCATCGCTAAGCTTGCCAACATATATAGTAACGTAGCACCGTCGGCTAGATTCAAATTTTTATTTTTCAAATAATTTCATTTTAAAATATCAGGTAATTACATTAGTGTAGGAGAAGCACGTTGGTATTGGGGAAGATCGTCGCTGTTGGGGAAGCCTGCCGGAGAGTCATTGCAATAACAACTAGTTAAGGTAGAAGTCATTGTTACTTAAGTCACGAATGGAGCTCGATGGAGAAGGACCTTAGAGGACTGACTAGACATGCACCTCAATTTTCAAACAAAAAAAGATTTATTGGAGAAAATGATAGGCTTGACATCAACTTTACTAAAGAAATGACATAAAGCAACACTAATAAGGAAATGATATGATCTATTCTTAGCACTTGCACAACTTTCAAAATTTCTTTTAAATGACCCAACTTCTCAAAATGATAGCTACAAGCGTAAACTATATGGCTTTTATTTTTTTAAATACCAAATATAATTTTTTAAATTTTGTTTTAAAAAATACATGTCAGCTCGTGAGACAAGGAGCTCGTTTAGTATTTGAGCTTTACTTTATGGTCGAGCATGAGCTAGTGACTAGATAAGCTCGACTCGTGAGCTCCTTAATGAGTCAAGTTCGAGTCATCTTACGAGTAGTCTTGATTCATTTACAGACCTAAACTAGGCTACATGTCTGTGAAAGTCTGTAACAGTCATATCATATATTATACATTCTATTTTCTAGGTGAAATCTTTCTCGTAACCCTCTAAACCCAATAAATAAAGGAAGAAAATGCATCTTTTTTGAATATTTTTGGGACCTCATATTACATGTTGTGAGATTTATATAGATTCTAATGCTCCTTCTAATACTCCTCGTACTCATTCAAATCTCAAATAATTTTCCACCTATGATTGGCAGGTTACTTGCTAATAGGTTGGGAACAGTTGCCAATTAGGGGGGCGGTGGCTGATAACTGACTTAATGACAACAGCAATCATCAAACATGGTGGTGGTTAGCAGTGGCAGTGAGCGAAGCTTCTTTATTGTGTATTTATAATTCAGTTCAATTTGATGAAATCTAAATACATTGAAAATCGATTAGACAAAAAATTTTAAATGCTGAAAAAGATTATATTGTATGTGATTTTCTTTCAATTAATTATCTCACTTTATATGTAGGCTCTTTTGATTTGAAAAAAAAAAAAAAAGAAAACGTGATGCAAAGTATTCCAAATGTAAGAGATTTTAAAATTTTAACATTTGTTTTGATGATAAAGAAATGCAGAATAAATTTTTGGTGAATTCTCTTTTCACTTTATAGTTCAATTTTGTTGTATTCTAAATTTGATTATGGTCAACTAAATTCCAAAATACACCACAATCTAATTCTGCTCTCATCACCAATTGTGTCGGTAGTGATCACCACCCATCACAGTCTGTTGCTGCTCTTCACCCCACTACTAGCTATTGGTCCCATTAGTATTAGGTTTTAGATTTTACATCATATTTATTTTATTTTAATTTAAATAAAAAATTATATATATTTATTTTATAATTATTCAAATAATTTTAAATATTTTTGATGTAATAATTTATTTTAATTTGTATTTATTTTTCAGCAGAATATAATGCTTAAAAATTAGCAACACCTACCAAGTATCTTCAATGGATTTTCGGCCCTAAAAAGGTAAAAAGATCTGCAAACCACCTGCTACACTGCCTGCAAGCAGATCGCGGCCCGATAGCGGCGTGGATCCATAGTTCGCGCTTCCATTTTGTCACAAATCACGAAAAAAACCGCTTGCAATCCCATCAAAATATAGAGATCAAGCCCAGCCAGCCAGCCAGCCAGCGAGCGAGGGAGAGAGAGAATAAAAACTGCACCTTTCTGTAAGAGCGTACGTGCACGAGAGGGGAGCTTGGGCAGAACTCCATTGCTCCCACTTGACAGTTTTCCGAGCCTCGCGGTGGGCGAAGGATGCCGCTGACGAGCGTTCAGGTGTCGGAGGATGTGTGGTTGACATGCCTCGCGCATTCGCTTACCACGGAGACGGAGGAGATCATGGGCCTTCTCTTCGGGGACATTCAGGTAATCCTTTTTCTCGTCCATCCTCACCGTCTTAGGTTATGATCACTTTGTTCTACTAGTTTAATTTTGGTTGCTTTCTTTGCCCTGATTTTTTCTATGCCCACTGTTTCTCCAAAGGAATTAAGTTGGGAAAACTGAAGTTTCGATGCCATTTATTATTATTTTTCTCCGGTCCGTTCTTGATCCGTGAATTTTATGGATTTATTTGTTGTGCTGGTTTGTTTTGAATTGTCGCTCAAAATTTTCATTTTTTGGGGCGATCGTGATTTTAAGAGTTTGGCGTTTACGTTTCGGAGGGTATATTGTTCTTCTGTAGGAGAGGCATTGTAAATATTTCACGCCAATCAGTTTCTTGTTTGATATGGGAAGTTATGATTGTTCTTTTGATCAAAAGAAAGCTTCTTTTTATTTTAATAGAAAAAATGGTTGCGGTTGGCTTTACAAGGATTAAACTTGTCTTCTTTCAAATGTTGGTATGAGTGCTTTTGTTGCCCAAGTGTTTCTAATTTGAGATAAATTCCAAATAATTTGAGTTGCCATAATTGAGAACTACAATTGGCATGATATTTATGTTTGATGTGAACTTGCGCTTATTTTCTTTTATAGTTTGTTATAGAATAATTGTTGTTTGTTTCCTTTTGCTCATTTAATTTTCTGCCACTTTTATACGATTCCCAATTAAATTGGGGTTCTATTCAGAGATCATGAATTCACATCTGCACGACATACAGACCTAGTTTTTTAGTTGTATTGCATAGAATGGCGTTTTTATTTTTCATATCTTTTTCCATTATTGTTACTATTATATTCTTGCTCATATCTTGAAGCTGACTTGTTTATTTATTGATGATTAAGGGGAATAGTCTATCCGTTTGAGTTCTTTACATCTCTTGGGCTTCACGAAACTTACTTTCTTTGGCTAATTTCCTGTTTTCTTAGCCGACTCAAGGATGCTTTAACACTTCTCTGTTCCATGGATTTTAAATTATCTTGATGACTCAAAACTCTTTTGTGAACATTGACGTTTACGAGTTGCAAATTGAGCAGGCAAGAGTGTCATTATGCTGCTAATGTATTATCCACAGGATTACCTTAGTTCAGGACATTGATGAACTTTTTAACTGATATTCGAGTTCATGATATACTGCAAAAGTAACTTTGTTGCCAGGATTGAACAGCAAAGCTGAAATAATTCTTCAACATTTTATTCATTTGTTCTTTAGATGAATGTGGCTGTGCTTAAAACTCCTGTAAAGTTTTACCAATCTAACATCACCTATTAACTGTGTTAACTTCCTTAATCTTTTGGGCAAATCATAACTGAGATGAGTTAGTGCTAAAATAAATAAATTAGGAGCTTAACATAATTTATAGGTTAGCCCAAAGTGGATATTTATGTTATCTATGTTAACTTCCATAATGTTTTGGGCTAACTATGCATTCAAGTTGAAACCCCAATCTAACTTCAGCTATGACATAGGGAAGGCTTTAGACTTGACAATATATAAACTAAAGTGGGTATTTCTTATTTTTGGGTATTGTTGTTATTCGAGGTTATTTATGGTCCTTGTTTTGAGCTAAGAGTTCTACTCAATCTTTTATCTATTTATTACTATCATCGTCTGAATCATGATCATTTATTATATGGACCTAAGTACTTGCAATACAGTAGATGAGCTTCATTTTGTTTTTATGTTTTGTGAAGGTAAAAGAAAAAACCGATTGAAGTTTATAGGTGGTGTGAGTTAATTGTCTTGTTTGTGGCACACCATGGGACATGGGAGGGGAACGAGTATAATTGGGATTTTAAATACAACACTTATAGATTTTTAAGGTTCCTGATCCTTCCTAAAGATTTAAGGACAATAATTTCAAACCACTAATGAATGCAAGATGTGAAAGTGGTTTTACAAAATAGGATGGTTAGAATATGATTGAGGAAAGTTTAAGCTTAGTAGTAATGTTGGTTTTTTAAATCTTGCTAGCAAAATGTTATTAAAACCACTATATCTCAATAATAGAATTATAAGCATTTATGAGCATATGATGAGAAGTTAAAATGTAAGCAATGCAAAAAAGTAAATAAAAGCTAGAGCAATGCTTATATTCAAGTCATTAAGGATATGTATGCAGGTGCTGTTACTGGTGTTCAAATACAAGGTGGTTTGACCAAGTATTTTCCTATTTCAGTTGGATTACATCAAGGATCAGTCTTAAGCCCATATTTTTTTGCTTTAGTCATGGATGTTCTCATTAGACATTTATAGGAGGTTGTACCCTGGTGTATGCTTTTTGCTGATGATATTTTTCTTGTTGATAAGACTAAAGAGGGAGTTGAAGATAAACTTGAATTATAGAGGTCAACCTTAGAGTCTAAAGGTTTTGTTTGAGTAGATCTAAAACCAAATATATGGAGTATAATTTTAGTAGTAATAGATTTAGTGGGGAGATTGTGACTTTGACCAATCAAGTCATTAATAATAGTACATATTTTAGATATCTTGGGTCTATTGTTTAGAGTGATAGTGAAATAGATGGGGATATCATTAGTAGAATTCAAGTTGAATGGTTGAAGAGGAGGTATGCATCGGACTTGTTATGTGATAGAAAAGTCCCCGTCAAACTTAAGGGAAAATTTTATATGATGTTGGTTAGACCTGCAATGCTTTATGGTGCAGAATGCTGGCCATTAAAAGAGAAGCATGATATTAAGTTAAGTGTTGTAGAGATGAGGATGCTCAGGTGGATGAGCGGCTTTCCTCTTATAGACAATATACGAAACAAGCATATACATGAAAAGGTAGGAGTAGCTCCAATTGAAGATAAGATTAGAAAGAGTCATCTTAGATAGTTTGGACACATAAGATGGCGACCTTCTGATAACCCAGTTGGGAGAGTAGATGCATTGGATTTGGCTTATGCTAGGAAAGGTAGAGGTAGACTTAAAAATATTTGGTTAGAAAATATTATAAATGATTTTTTTTTTATTAAATTTAAATGAGAATTTGACTCTTAATAGGACACAGTGGAGAAAAAAGATTCATGTAGCTGACCCCACATTGTGGGATAAAGGCTTGATGCTGTTGTTGTTGTTGGCATTAGCTTCCTACATTCACTTCCTACGTATACCTCTTATTCTCTTATCCTTCCTTTTCCTACACTCATAAAAATGCTTTGTACAATATTTTCTCTCCTACTGCCCTACACTTGTTAAGTATAATCGCTCCCTTCAATCCTTTGGGGCTATGAGAATTCACTTTTGGTTATGAACAAGAGGCCCTCTTGTGTTCTCGAACGAGTTTAGTTTGCACAAGGGTGGATACACACAAATCTCCCAATCTTACAACAAGTTTGAATATAATGATAATCATATCAAGATTTGTAAAGAGCAGCTTGTATAGCTCCAAGAAAGCTCATGAACCAAACCCATCTAAAAAAAATCCTCACAGGCAAAGCTCCGGGTACAATATAAGTAAGAAAACCTAAGAGAACTTTAGAAAAATGCAAATATTTTGGCACTAAAATGTTCTATTTAGTGTTTGAAGTGCATATATATATATATATAGGCCAAATTCTATGTGAAAATATGTGAAAAAATGCACCAAGCCATTCCTCCAAATCATTCATAAAATCTCATTGTCGTTACGGGGAGGAAGGTCGGAGACGGAGCGAAGCCGAGCGGCAATGGAGGAGATGGGTTCGGCCGACTGGAGGTTCGGTCGTGGCTCTGGAGGTCGGGACTCTGGAAGAGGAGCTACGGGAGAAATGAGCGAGAGTGTCGTGTGTGTAGCAAATGGAAGGAAGCAGGGCTTCTATTTAACGACGCGAACAGGCGACAATCAAGGAGCTGCTGCGGGATTTGCGGGATCAGACGCGAACGGCGCCGATTTCAGCTGAATTCGTGGATACAACGGTCTTACAGGTATTATTTACGGGATTTTTTCTTTGTTTCTTCTGGATTTTATACAAAGGTCAACAGACATTAGTATTTATAAATTATGCAACATACACAACTAGAAGAAATATGTTCGTATTAAGGGGTGTATGTACAATTGTATGTATTTATAATGTCTAATGCTCAATTTTCATTTAGTTAGTATTTTTTTTTTAAATTATGTATGATTTTCCACCTTAGTACTTGTCCGCATTGAAAAATCTGAGTTATACAAGTTTTTTTTTTTTAACCAACCATTCCTCGGTGTTTTGTAAGTTGAACTAATAAATTTTCAAAATTTTCTAATGAGTATTTATATTTTTCAAAGTCAAACTGTACTCTAGCTCATTTAACCGAAACTATTATTACATATGTTTTATTGAAACCTAAATACATCTATGCAAGTGTATAGAGTCCGAGTTTAAGTGCAGATCTCTAAAGAATATGTCTAGATGTTTTGAAACAATTGTACATACACCCCTTAATACTTGCATATTTCTAGTTGTGTATGTTGCATATTGGACTAGTTGCACAATTTCATCAAAAGAACTTAGATAACTTCTCATAAGGCAAATCTTTTACCTCAGCGTTGGTGTTGTAAGCATTTTCATCCTCTATAACCATGTATGAGAGAAATGACATGAATGAGGATGAAAAATAGAAGTAGTGCAAAAAAGCACATGGAAAATAAATGGATGTTGAATATATATATATATATATATATGATACGGCATCATAAAAACTTTGGTGTCTCTTATGAACGCTACACCCTCTCACTTATCTGATTGTGTGCTGGATCTTCGTACAACGCTAAGACGTTAAACTATATATTTCTCTACCGCCGCGAATATTTCAGGACGCAACAATATATATATGCACCTTATATTCTTCTCTATTTCCTTAACTCAATCACAAACTATTGAAGTATCACATCCTATTTTAGCCCATCACTAAACCATAAGGTATTATAGAGGCAAATAATCCAGTCAGACATCATCAACACCTATCCTGACTTTATTAATCATGATTAAATGAGTGAAAAATTAGCCCATATCGATCACCACAAAAAAAAAAAAAGCTTTAGACTTTACAATCATCTGACAGTTCCATCGTAAGCATTGATACATAAACATGCAGAAATAAATTCATCAAATCAACCACAGAGTTTCTAAATAAATTTTAAATATAAATTCATATGTACAAAAAGTCTTTAATATACATTATACACATCTTCTTTGAAATATCCAAAATTATACGTCCAGAAAGCTATAGTAGAATAAAAATCTACTCACTTATCTACAACCCCAATTGCTCCATCCCCTTGCCTTAAAATCACATGTATTATATTTGATGAGCTAAGTGCTTAGTTGGATAAATAATTCTATTATAAAGTTCAAATATACAATAAAAGAATATAATTATGCTGTGCTGATCATTTGAACTAATATGAGCATTTATTTTTACAAATAGAACATGCTTAGTGCAACACCTTTAAGCTAACATCAGCTTTAATGATTTGATAGGTAAAAGAAATGATTATAAACAATAAATATGAATATCTATAAAAATGTAAAGTACATCCATAAAGTGTCAAACTGTTTAATTCACTATGTCAGTCAATTGCTTGTGTGAAAATTGTCTAGTTTGAAAAATAACATTTTAACCATAGATACCTTTTCAAAGTAGATAACAAAGAAGGTGAACTATTATGAAAGTAAATGGAACTTGAAACATATGATTAATAGGACATACTAGATATGTTTCAAAGGTTTTCCAAGAAGTTTATAAGTCTTAATAACCATGTAAGTCTAAATAGATTAAGACTAGTGTAGTGATAAAACCATAAAATCAGATCAATTTGATAAACCAATGGAAACATGGTCAATATGAAATCTTGAGAAAGTCTAGAGCCAAGACAACTCATTTTAACCAATCTTAACAAAGTTTCTCAAAAAGATAAACAGAATAACCGAGGAATAGGAATTTGAACACTTAATCTTGCTTGATCACATTTATTCATCTCCTTGTAGTCTGGAATGGATCATTCATGAGGTTATCGTCAAGGCCAATACCTTCAAGCTTGATTACTTCTTGGTCCACATCCATATGGTTAGCATCTTAAATAGCAAATGTTTATGAATCTCCTTGTTGTCTTGAATGGATCATCTTATCAATTTAAGGTACACATGGTTAGATTTTTCATTTGCAAACTTATAACACACTTAAACAATTAGATGGTACCAATGAAGACTTGTTATTATCAAATAAGTAATAGGCCATCATGGTTTGCTAGGCTTATTTATAGAAATGATCGATTCTTCTCTGTGGTAAAATCTCATTCTTTGATAAGTTATTGAGGTCTGATACTTGAAAATACTAATATTACATGAATAAGAAAAGGCTTGTGAGAAATTGTTTGGTTTAGCTTGACAATTATCAAAGTTTAAATGCATTCATTCTTCTTTTGATTGTTTGTGAAATGCTAAAGAAGTGTTCTGATTTCATACAATTATTTTGAATGAAAGAAACAAGTTATGAGTTCTTTTATAATTAAATGAGGAATTGATTGCAACTATTATATTCTTCCTGAATAATGAACTTTGATTATGTTATGATTTTAAGGATTTGTTTCATGTGTCCTTAACAATGCTATGCTTATTTTCCCATGTGCATTGCTGACATTTTTGAGAGAATTTGTGTAGGATTTGAACAATGGGAACAAAACCGCTCTAATATGGGGTGCATCACCACAAATGAGATCTGATCGTCGAAAAGATCGAGTGGAGACAAATCCTGAGCAGTTGGCTGCAGCATCAGCGCAGGCTGAGATATCCATGGAATTATTTTTTATTAATTAAAGGGCTAATTACATTTGGATCTCAAATGAATACTTTATGCTTTACAATAGTGTACATTTTTTTGAAATCATTTCAATTTGTCTCCCTTTTTGATCCCAACCAGGTGTTGAGGCTGCGCAGTAGTGATAACCTGAATCAACTCTCTCCTATTCTTTCCTTTCTCTCTCATCCAAACCCACACCCACCATATCACTTGAAAATCACCTTTTTTATTATGAATGAGTTGCACATCAAGCTCTCTATCCCATTGGACTCCGCTCTAAATCTTCTATTAGTTGAGGTAAGGTCATTTGGTTTATCCATGATTTCTCCTCGCTCTCATTCTAACCCTTAGCTTGAATGCCCTTAATGTTGCTAAGTCCCTCACCCCTTCAAAGGGCTTGTGATTGGGCTAAAAGGTATGCCTAGATGTTTTTCCATAATACCCATCTTAGACCCCTGCTCGTAGGAAAAGGTATAAGGAAAGCTGTAAGAGACAGAGAAAATCTCAAATGCTACTTTTATATTGCGGTACCCGCTTTCCAGAGCTTGTATAAAGAAAACATCAGTGGTATGTAAGATTAACTGCAACAGTATAAGGAAGCTATATCATGCGATCTCAGCTGCAGCTAGGAAGGTAACAACCTTTGAGTATAAGGCAAGTAGGCAACCCTTAGCCCTTGAATTCTTTCTGCAATTGGCTTATGATGAATGCAAACTAGAAAGAAAAGCCAGATAAGGAGAACGATGGGCAACACAACCTAACTCGATTCAAATAGTAGCAATCATCCAAAACACAAAACCAATGGACAAAACAAGAATTGAAATCAAACGAAACAAAAGAAAAATAAAAGAACGCTATCCTCAGAACAACCGACAGAACGGTTTCCTCACATGCATCGAAATGTAGGTAAAGTAAAGTATGTGCTTAGGGCTAGCAAACCGATGGCCTACCACAGCAAGAAGGTCCAAACGTCCAACCAAGCTCCTCCGACAAATGCTCCCAAATCAGCCAACCAACAACACTAGGAAGCTCAAGAAGAAAGATACATGTGGGGTGGAACTTGCGTAGAGAAGAAGAGGTAAGAAGCCCAGACGAAGTAGAGAAGAGAAAGAAGTGGAACAAGCTCTCAGGCTTTTCCAAGAAGAAGAGAACCCTCAGGTTTTAGAGACTTTGCTCAACAATATTTAACAGCCTTTTCCTTCCAAAACATCTTCTATTTATAGGCAAGAGAGGGGAACCAAACAGCCATAACACCTCTAACTAAACCAATTAGATTTAGGGAAATGAAAGGCCATCAGCCACAAAACAACAACTCCCAAGCCGGCCCAAGAAACAGAGAAAAAAGGTCACGGAAGACCCAGCTGGAAGCCACGGGAAACCCAGCCAGCAGGGGTCCCGAACAGCCAGCACAGAGAACGAACCGCAGGCACAGAAAAAACAACCAGGGCCACAGGAACAGCAAAAGCCCAAGAGAAACCGAGGAGACAAGGAGGAGACCGAGAGGCAGCATGGGGAAGGGAAAGGGACAAGTTCCACCATAATGAGCTTCCACTAATCTTAAATAAATGAGCTAAACTTCATCTAAATATGAGCTAACCAAGAGCTCAAAAATAATGAGCTAGCACTTTTGAAAATATAGCTCAACACCAAAGCAACCATCACCTCCCAACATCAACACCAGCTCAAAACCGAGAACCATAAGCCCAACCCTAGAACCAGCAGCAGCCCAAGGGACCCAAACAAGCTAGCAAACCAAGGTCTACCAAGCCCAAGCACAACCTACCATGATCATTGGATGCCTTCCATCATTGGATAGCTAAAAAAATATAAAACTAAATGAAAAACTAATGTTCAATGTTTGATAATGAAAATACAAAAATCAAGAATGCATTAGCTTCAGTCTGAAGGCAAGAAAACCTATAGAAATTTAAACCTGGATTGTTCTTGATGCTAATTGAATCATGGCCGTTGTAGCAATTAACCAAATCTAAGGAGGAAATCAAATTATTGCTGAATATAAACTGTTCTTAGTAAGATCAATATCATAAATATGTTTAAAATAAACTAAAAAGAAAATAAACGTGAACAAGAAAATAATATAATGTAAACTACCATGCCCATTTTAATGTTCACTTTTTTGTGTTCCTACTTATATATGTTTAAATATTTTCATTAAATCTTCTTGGCTTGTAAAATTTTCACAATAATGAATTTAGTATTCGATATTCATCAAGTATCCTCATAACCATCCTCCTTCATGCAGAGTAATCTGAGTCGTCAAAAGTGCGGTTTTTTTTTTTTGTTAATGCACAAGATTAGGGGTTTCAATTTATATTCTCGGGTTGGGTGGTTTGACATTAAAATGACCTGCACGAATATAGTCAATTTGAATCCGAACCTGACATGCACAAAAAATAGCTAAATCTAATGCATCTACTTTCCTAACCAAGTCATCGGAAGGCTGCCATTTTATGTGACCAAACCATCTAAGGCGACTCTCTCTAATTTTATCTTCCATTGGAGAAACTCCAACCTTTTTACATATATGCTCATTTCATATTCTGTCTCTAAGTGTAAACCCACTCATCCATCTGAGCATTCTCATCTTTGCAACACTTAAATATTATGCTTCTCTTTTAATGGCTAATTTTTTGCACCATAAAACATTGTAGGTCTCACTACCATCTTATAAAATTTCCCTTAAGTTTGAGGGGGACTTTTCTATCACACATCAAGCTCGATGCATTCCCCTACTTCAACCATCCAACATGAATTCTACTAATAATATCCCCATCTATTTCACCATCACTTTGAACAATAGGCTCAACATATCTAAAATGTGTACTCTTATCAATGACTTGATTGCTCAAAGTCATAATACCCCCACTAGATTTATTATTACTAAAATTACAGTCTATATATTCAGTTTTAGAGCTACTCAAACGGAAGCCTTTAGACTCTAAAGTTGACCTCCAGAATTCAAGTTTACCTTCTAACATCTAATAAAAAAAAATTAAGTTTCAATCCTCCCAACTTCAAACAATATTAATTAACTTTTGTTTCCACTTTTGTTCATCATATTCTTCCTGGAAAGAAATCGATAAGGAAGTGAAAGCCAACGTGTTTGAAAGGCTTTGATGCAATCCAATCGTGAAAACTGCCAGCTGTAGACTAAGGAAACCCAATTGTGGAGATTATTGAATTCTTGTGGGCAAAGATATAATAAAAGCCGCTTAACACTTATGGAAATTCGATACGCATCCTTTCTGATAGGAAATAGCCACCAATAGAAGAAGATAAACTCTTGAAATTCACTAATAGAAGAAGAAAAACAACACAAGATACAAGAATCTTCAATTCGAGAGGAAGATTCAACTCTATGAATCTCTAGCCAAAAACTAGAGCCCAAAATCAACACAAGGATCCCAAATTTCAGATTCAAATTCAAGATTAAACCCTAACCCTCAAAAGCGAAACTAATTAAAGCAAATAGGACAAATACAAAATTCCTAAACCGCCCCTAATTCAAATTTTCCCACCCAAATTAATATTTAATTGAGTTGTGGCCCCCCCCCCCTACTTAGCCGCCCTCCTTCTCCATGGTTCCGCCCTCCTTAGGCCCGCCGCCTGTAGACAAAGACCGGTCCACTAGGGACCGGTTCAGCTGGCCCCCCTTGGGCCGGCCGAACACCTTCCTCCTATGGTTTCTAGTTTCCTGTAACTGTATCATGTGCTGAAACTTGTTCAAGGAATATGACAGTAGTAAGGTAACCTGCAACAACCGTATATGGAAGAAATAGCATGTGATCCCTACTGTTAGGGCTGCAAATGAACCGAGTCGAGCCGAGCTTTGGCCTGCTCGAGTTCGGGCTCGTCTGTCAGAATCGAGCTCAAGCTCGACTCGAAGCTCGTCGAGCTTCTTGGACAGTTGTTCGAGTTCGAGCTTATTTAAAACTTCCATGTTCGAGCTCGGTTCGGTTCGTGTTCTAGTTTGGTTTGTTTCGAGCTTATCGAGCCGTCGTGAATAAGCCAGCTGAGCTGACCGCAATTAACAAAATAAATTTATTTATTTCAAGTCGGATAGATCGGTGCAAACCCACATAAGATGAAAGGAAGACCCGCCCGCCCGCTACCCATTACCCAACAAGTGAGCTGCAGCTGTATTTGTTTTTATGTAGAGAACTTTTTTACTCCAGGCGGTATGGGACTAAACCCTCCCCTACAGTTTTTTTTTTCTTGTAGGCCACAAAGGAGAGAGAGAGAGAGTTAAATAATAGTTAAATATGTATTAAACAGTAATAACGTTAAATAGTAAAACAGTAATATATATAGTTAAATAGTAATATATATATATATATATATATATATAATAGTTAAATAATGTTAAATTTAAATATAGTTAAATTCTCTCGAGCGGCGAGTGTTAAAATAGTAATATATATTTAAATAATGTAAAATAAATTATTAGTTAAACAATAATATAAATGAACTTAGTTATAAATGTTAAATATATTTTTAGTTAATAGTTAAATATTTTTTTAATTAAATAAGACATGATCGATCTTTTTAATCGAGTTTCTTAATGAGCATGTTCACGAGTTCTAAACGATCTTGTTCGTGAATATAAACGAGTCGAACGTCAGGGTGTTCAAGTTTGTTTATTTAGCTATCGAGTATTGTCAAATTTGTTCATTTACCTTATCAAACGAACATAAACGAGTTCTTATCGAGCTGAGCCACGAGTAGCTCGTCGAACGCTCGGTTCATTTGCAGCCCTACCTACTGTTGCCAGGAAGTTAAGTATCTAGAGCGGAAGGCAACCCTTAGCTCCGAAATTTCTTCCTGCAGTTAGCTTGTGATTTAAAGTCAAGGAAAACCCAAAAAGTTGAATGATAAACTAGTCATGATATTGGTTTAATCAAGGCTCTTGTTATGGTAAACCTAATGACGAAATTAAAATATTGGAGAACACAGCCCATTCTCCATAGGTTCAATATTATAGGCATTTTTTAACATGAACTGAAAAGAAAATAAAATGCATACTAAAAGAGAATATAATAAAATTCATTTTGTGTTTCCGATGAGTGTACGTTATCAGATTTCCATGACTTCCCTGTCCATCCACCTCTGTCACTTGCACCCACTTTAGAACAAAGCTTTCCTTCTCTTACATCTCTTATATTCTTAGTCTAAAATTAAGAGCGCCTTATTCTTGTTCTAAAATTAAGAGCGTCTTATTCGTGGTTTTAGATATTGGCCCTCTTGACGTCAGTCAACTATAAAATGGTATAAGCACTAGTCCACAAGGATATATCTGAAGATCAAAATTGATGTCGACTATCCAGGCGAAATCTTAATAAAAAGCTGGAGATCAAAAGGTTTTTGCATGCGCAAACCTATATGTAACCTATTTATAATCTATCCGTTCAAACAAAGCTTTTATAAAACTTTATATGGTTATGTTACATGTTTTCTTTGTCTACTTAACCCCTTGGAACAAACTATCACAGACAATTGGAAGGACTACAAGGGTCATTGGGTGGTACCATTCACATCCACATATTACAGTTCTCCCATCTCATGTAGGTACGTAAACATGGTAGGCAGGGAAATTTATTTTCGATCCAGGTTTGTTTCAATTTCAAGTTTCAATTTCAAAAGTTAAACTGCATTTTCTGAAATGAAAAAAAATAATATTTTGTTTGCCTTGTATGTGCTATTTTGTAAACATCATATTCTGTTGAAACTCCCTCTTACAGTCTACCCCCATCCCACTCATTGCACACTTAACAGCACGTTCTCAATGTACTTACTTGCAAAGAAACCATCCAGTTACACTGTGAATGACTTCTCATTTTGTACCTCCCGCACTTTGAAGTTATTTGGCGCCACTTAGCTGCCAGTGGTGGGATGCAGGTCTGTGCTTATGGAAAGCCTAAATAAATTTATCATGTTTTAAGGATATTAGTTCCGTTGGCATATTTATATTTGTTTTATGAAAATGTAAAATTCAAAAGCATTATCCTTTTGTTGGTGTTGCAATTAACATTCACAGTGTAATTGTACAATACAACTAAGCATTTATATGTCAAATATTTTCTATATTATAAATTTCTTTTCTCACTATTCTTTTGCAATGAATAAATTTCAACATTGAAATAGGCAAAATATTTTTAAGAAAGAAATTGTTTGAATTAACAAATCAAGTAATTTTCAATACTCTCTTATTTAATATGATTAACGTTTCCAGTAGTGTTAACTATAATTTTTGTAAATCATTTGTTTAATTATCTTTATTACTTCTACTATACCACTCTTTTTTCCTATTTCTTTTAATCTATTATATTTGCTCAAATCACTCTAAGTTTATTTTCTCTCTCTTCAAAAGTTGCTACTCCCAGTCTCCCACTCTCGTAAATTACTTTTTAAATTTCATACAAGATGTCAGCCCCTAGTTTACATGAGAGAGAATCCCTTTTCTTCTCCTCCCCACTTTTCTGCAATTTATTTCTTATTTGAGTCAACTCACAGTAAGTGATCCTGACTAATACAATAAAATCTTCGAGCATAAGTGTTTACAGGATAGCATAATCATGTCAGATGCTAATTGCATGTTCTGCAAAGGAAATTGACGTTTATTCAAGATGATGCTCCGGCTCCCTGAATTTATCATATTATGCAGGTTTATATCTGGATTAGTTTAATGAACATAATATTATCCCATATACTTATGCATTACGTTTAGTATCAAATGTATGTACTTTATGTTGATCAAGCTGGAACTTTGAAGAAGCTTAAGGATGTTTGAGTGTTCTTATATGTTCAATGATATATTGATAATCTCTTTCGATTGGTTGTTCTGTTTTTTGTTGGTGTGAATGTTTTGGGAAGAATCTTTAAATTTAATCTGGTAGACATCAAAATGCGGTTTTATTTGATTTATCCATCTGCAGATGTTCGTACTCAGGCAATGTATCAGATGCTGGATAGGGGCTTCATTGGGCTGATATTTTCTTGCTTCAGTGAGGATGCTCAGAAGGTTTCTGTTAGAAATTACTGTTTCAAAATAATATTTGGGCTTGGATTTCTATGCTTATTAGCTGCGATGTTTTTGAATTTCTTCAGGTTGGCAGAATCCAGGTCATTGCTTTTCAATCTGCTGATTTGAAACAGAGATATGAATCTCCTGCTAGAGATGCAACTGTAGATATTGAAACTTCTTCGAGTTGGAGTTCCTTTGATAATCCTAGATCAGCTTCAGAATCTCCTGTTATTGAGAGCATTGAACAGGACAGTGGTGACTCAAGAATGACAAAAACTGCTAAGGTAACTTAATATTTTTGTTTATTTTACCATATTTTTTCTTGCTTCTGCTCCCTGTCAATCTTGCATCATCTGTAAATGTAGCTTCCATATCTATAGGCATTATGTATTTGTTTCAATAGTTGAAAATTTGTTTAATGTATTGACTCTTCTTTTTATGTAAGGGTAAGAGTTATCGAATTGAAAATTGATAGAACTAATTATTATGTAAGCAGGGATTATCTATATGCTCATCTTTTAAATGAGTATTGGAAGTGTTTGTCAGCATATAGTACTACACATTGTCCTAAAAGTGGCATGGGTTAAGAAATTTAAATGGTATTAGATGTTACTTCAAGCAAAGGGGTTGAGGTTTGATATTTTGTAGGGTAATGATATTTGTTATATGATGCGGGCAAAAAAAAAATAGGGGAGCCTATATCTCTTGAACCGACATAGACAACCCAAAAGAAACCACAAAAAGAAGGGAATTGACTAGAGATATAAGAACAAACTCTTACATTTCAAATCTAACATAGATTTAGAAATAAAAAAAAAACTTACAGAGATGACTAGTACACTTAAACAAATTACAATGACTCGAAATTAAAGACACCCTAAAATTGCTTCACAATTTAGAAGAGGGATACAGGTGGAGTGACACTTGCGGAGAGACGAAAGAGGTTAGAAGCCGAGAAGAAAGGTTGGAAAAAGCTCGCAAGATTTCCGGAGAGGATGAGAAAGAAGGTGGACAAAGCTCGCAAGCTTTTCCAACGAAACCCACTGGTTTACATTTTCCAAAAATCAATCACATAACATTCAACTTTTTTAAACATTACAAGCCCCTCATATTTATAGGTATGAAAAGGGAATACAAAAGGACACTAACAATGAATTCACATAAGAATTCTAAACATCACAAACATTAAAACCCAAATGCTTTTCACGGAAAAACAACCCAAGCCCAAGAACCGAAGGAGCAGCCGCGAGAGCCAAGGAGGCCGCATGGAACCAAGGCGCCACAGCCACGGGAAAACACCCAGGCTCGGAAAACCAGCAGCCGGCCGGAAATCCAAGGGGAAAACGCACAGAAAATAATTGCCCATGGTGGAAGCCAAGGAGCCACACATGGGAAACAACACTTCTTCGAATTCCAAAGGCCGGTTTGGAATTCCAAGGGACAAACATAATTAAAGACATAAAAACAATGAAAAGTACGTTTAATAAAAGATAACTATTAACTAAAATGTTAGCTAATAATGAGCTAACCCTTAGTTCAATAAGTAAACTAAAGACCAGCTCATAAATGAGCTAAAATTTCAGCTCAATCGTGATTGAGCTTGTAAACTCGAGGGAGGCCAAAATTGATTTATTTTGGACCTGAGTTGACCCCCCTTTGTCTACATCATCATAGAATTGCCGTAATTCTGATGTTTGGACCATAAGGTGGAATTTTATTCCTTATCTATTTATATCCCCCCTTTGCCGAAGTTTGTTGTAGTTTACATTGTGGTTTTATTACTATGGTGAAAGTCCTATGATGTTTCTGAGTGAAAAGGAATTAAAAAAAAAAAAAAAATCTTGATGTTGCTTGACAAAATGTTAATGTTTCTCTGAAGATAATTTACATTGATATGGCTTGGAACTATATTTGGTCATTTTAATCTTTTGGTTCGCTAAACATCTTGAAATATGTTTTTCTTCTATTTTTTCATGAACTATTATTTAAGGATCATCTGCAAATGAAAGACAAGTTACTGCATGTAAAGTATGTCTATTTGCAATGTATCCTGGAAGATCAATCAACCAACATTTATCATTTGGGCTTGTTACTTATTCCTCTGCCATGATGCTTTTCTTTTGTATTTCTATATATGTTCAATCATGCAATTAGGTAAAAGTGAACATAATGGTCCTATTTGTCATCCAGTTATGAAAAATAAATGTAGAGGATAACATTGATCAGCAGGAGAGATTATGGACCACAATGTGATGTGTTATAAATTGAGCAATTAGTACAGATCATCGGCATATATATTAATGCATAGATTTTTTTATATGATTTGCAATATATTATTTCGCTTTTTGTATTAATTTTAGATATAAGGTTACTTGCTGGGCTATTCGCTCATTATGTGGTTTAAATGATTTAAGGTAAGGAGTCTGCAGCTTGAGACTATGTATGTAGTGGTGCTAGAGTAGTTTTATTTCATTTCTTTAGTTTATGTATTCTTTTGTAGTCAGCTTGGCTATTGTATATCTTTTTTTGAACTCTACCGAAATGATGTAATTTTGAACTATAAAAATGTGAGTTATGATTTTTGTTGCTTATTATTTTTCTTTAATGCAATTAATTAGCTTTGGATGTTAAAATTTATCTGATTGATAAATGAATAGACTGAGTGAAAAGATATGTCACGACCCGACCTAGATACTCGATTTAACGAGGCATGAACTGAAAGTTGGACGATATTACAATTTCATTCCAATTTCAAAATCCATATTAACATAAACTTTTGAACAACTGAATAGCCACTAATCACTAAGAAAACTATAAATCAATCAATGTCAAAACTAAGCATTTTCATCAATCATTTTACATGTCATTTGCACGTCGTCTTTTATAAACATATTTTTCCCTATCAGCCATTCCAAGAACTTGAACTCTTACCTGAAAATATTAGTTAATGGAATGAGTTTACGAAGTAAACTCAGTGGGTAACTGTTAAAACAATTAATATGAATATTATTTATTTACAATTCTTTTATAATTTTAATATGCATCCAATCATTTCTTAACTTTATTTCATTCATTTCAGTAATTTATACATGTCCGATCATTTTCCTTTAAAATATTTTAAAACATTTTAAAACTTTAATATTTCTTTTTCCCATTTAATTCTTACAGGAGCACCGTCTCAATGTATCCAAAGGTACAACCTTTTCCATTTTTTTCTTTTCCATTTTCATGACCTTTTTCTTTTTAAGTGCATGAGTATGACGTCCCCAGCCAGTACAATAAGGGGGTGAACTCATGTAGTTTTTAATACCTTTTCCTTGTTATATTACATCTGTTTTATTTCCATACATATATAACTTTTTTGCTTCCCTTTTTCTTTTCTATTTTCCCTTTTCTTTCATTTTCATCCTTATTGTTACAATTACATATAACATATATTACATGTACATCTATAAATATTACCTTTCATTTTCATAAACTTTCAAACATTTATAGCAGATGAATTTGTTCTTAAGACTATAAAATCATAAGATGTTTATACCTTCAACATTTTATAATACAAAATTAATCAAATACTTAGAAGATTGCAAACATGAATAAAATCATAAAACAATATAATTTATCCACTTCGATCTTTCAGTTCGTCGATCCTTGCCTCAACCTCAATCTCAAAAATTTATTTTTGTTGAATTCCTTGAAGAACCCAACTTGTACCACTTGATTTCTTTCTTTCCAAAATTTCTAACATTAAATAACAAAATTTTCATAAAATAAACTTAATAATAAATCTAAGAAAATTTATCTAAAAGGACTTTTTTTACTTACAACGAGGGAATATTTCGAATCCCAATTTCTTCCTCTTTCCTTTTCAAAATCTCTTCTAATTGCTTCTAAATCGCTTTCTCCCCCTTTTAGAAATTATCCTTTGCTTTAAATGGAGTAAAATGATAGAAATTTATAGATAAAATTGAAAAGAAAACTCAACAAACCTTCTTCCTTCCTTCCCTCGGTCGTTCCTCCCTTTCGTTGAAATTTCTTCCAAATCTATCACTTCTTAACAATAGGAAAGGAGAGGAGTTGCTAAATCGTATCTCCAAATGCGTTGGATGGCTAAAAACGACAAATCAAAACTCCAAAAATCCTCCTCGCACACCTTCAGTCATTCGCTCTCCCCGACCTCTAATTTGCGTTCGCAAAAACCGTCCCGACTCCTATTGGAGTCGCGGCTATTGAAAGGGGTTGGCTGGTTCGGTTGAATCGGCCACCCATTTGGTTCGTTATAAGATAATTAAGAGAAAAAGAGAAGAAATTTTTTCACTTTAGATTTTGGGGTATGACATTTTGGATAATATACAATTTTTGACACTTACATGGTGCCTATGTAGCAAAAATACTCCTATTTACGATCCATGTTGTATCAGACGCGTGTCGGATACGGATATGCCTCTGATACAATACGGATACGTGTCGGATACAGCTTTGCCGTGTCTAATTAAAATATTATTTAAGTTTGATCAGACACGCATATCAGATATGCATGTCCTATTAAAAAAAATGAAAAAACGGTACTGGAACTTGGTACCGCTCGGTACTCGGTATTGCTTGGTACCGGAACTCGGTACAGTTCGGTACTCGGTATCGCTCAGTACTTCTCCTTAACGCTCGGTACCATGCTCAGTATCAATGCTCGGTACTGCTCGGTACCGAGGGGTACCAAGCGGCACCGAGAAGCTAGAGAAAGCCTTAAAAAAACTCTTACAATAAAAATTTATTCCAGGTCGAACCCCGCCAAGGGGCAGCACCCCCTTGGACCCCCAGCATATCTGCGACATATCTACACTTTTACTTTTTTTTTTTTAATGTTTCAAATTCATGTGGTTTTATTTGTGTCGATCCTTCGTAGGATAATGAGCTCTAGTGGCACCGAGAAGCTAGTTTAGCTATTGTACTATTTCTCTGCTGCTTCCCCTTTTCAAGCTGCTGGCTTGCATCTGATGCTCTGTTTGCTATTGTTATGGCTCCGTTTAGACGTGGTTCTTTGGTGGGTTTTGTTGTTATGGCGTGTAACCCAGAATTGGATCTGCTTTGTCATTATGCTCTGGTTTGTCTCGTTTTACTTTATTGAATGTTCTGCTGGTCATATTGCTAAACTTTGATTGAGATGTATGCTTGATTTTGACTGTTAAGGTTGTTAAGGTATGATTTCCTCAATTCTTCATTTGCATAAGCTTAAGATTTCATGTTTAATTTAGCTAATGTACGTGTCATCCTGCTTAGATTGGTAGATCTTCTGATATGGAGCAATTCTGTACTCATAACGACATCAAGTATTTAGAGAAGCAGAAAATGGCGGAAAGTTCCATTGTAGTCTTCAACGCAGAGAATTTGCATGAGACTTCAACCAATACGGATTCTATTGATATGTCAGACAGTGTACAAGAAGCATTGCACCGGTCAAGCATGGACATAAGGTAACAACAAAAACAAAATTGTTGCTTATAAAACTTCACCCTTTCCTTTTCTGTCATTATGCTGTTATAAAGAAAATGATCAAAATAGTAATAGTCCATTGACTCTTTATGAAAGATCAAAATAGTCCTCAATTATATTGAAGGGCTATTTTGACTCCTCAACTCCTTCAAGAGAATCAAAATAGTCTTACTATGAGATTATTTTGATTCCTTTTTAAAGACTTGTGGGATTAAAATGGTTCTTTAATATAGTTGGAGATCATTTTGATCCTTTATAAAGAGTCAATAAACCATATTAGTCATTTTATTTGCTAGTACATATTAATTTTGTGTTTACAATGAGCAAGAAAGTAAAACTAGGCAATATTTCACACAGTTTTGCGGATTAGATTGTGTAATTCTTGTTTAGCGCTGAGGCTTGCTAGATCTTCATGCATGCTTGATGCATAAGTGATAGGGTATAGTATATGCTTGTACAGAAAAGCTGCTTTAATTTTTCCTTTTTATTACCAAATAACATGAAATATATAATTTTCAAATACCATTATTAATGTTGAAGTTTGAATGTCTTTCATTTGAAGAGCAATTCATTCTTCTTACACTGAAGGTCTCATAATCAACTTGTTAGATATTTGTGGTGTGATATGATAATAACAAGGACATGGATCCTTTTAAGACATGAATTCTTGCCAAGGTCTTTAATATGTTAGTCCGAGATCAATTTTGTTGGAAAATCTATCAAAAAAAATTTTTTTTTTTCCTGTGAAGATCCACGCAAGATTCTCTAAAGGATGCTAATACCGTTATTTTCAATTTACATCAAATTGGTCTTTCTAGAGTAAGCTTATAGTTTATTCTGGACATCATTCAGTAAGATTTGTTACTGAAATTAGACTTTTTTTGGTTCTCGTATTTGTCATGGGAACACACATGAACATTGATTGATTTTGTACCACATTGGGGATTATAGATCTATCTGTTATATATGGATGATATTTTATGAGGAAAAAAGACGTCACTTCATCAACTTTTCTCACTAAGTAGGAACTAATCTTAGAAATGAGCTCATAATTTAATTGCTAATTTCTAGAAATTTTGATTTAAATATTGTTGACCTCTATAACAAAAAAAAAGTTTTTTTTTTTTTTCTGAAATCATTACCTCCGCTGCTGCCCATCCCGTATCTCTGCTGAAATCTCGTTGAAAACTGTCATCTGCAACAGTGTCATATCTAAAGTCTGCGATTTGATGCCGTTTCAGAGCTGATCATGCGTGCTTTACCTCAAGCACACTCTCGCTCTTGCTGACGTTGTTGATAAAACAAGAGCTAAATAGCTCTCTTTTTTTATTTTCCCGCACACAACCCGCCGAACTCTTTCGAACCTCCTCACCAAGCCAAAAAGCCGCGAGCTCCGACCACAAGTTCCGACCAACGCCTTTCCACCTCACGCGACCACCCTCACTCCAGCTACTATACACATCCGACCAGCTCTTCTTCCCTTACCTGACCCGTTCCTCACACCAGGGCTGGACAACCCGACGCCTCTCTTCCATGCATGCAAGCACCGTCCTGACTACGATATCTCCAGCTATCTCCTTCTCTACACCACCTGAAGCCTCCAACCGACATCAATCCCTAGCTTTCGACCTCCAATCCGCAAACCACCACAAGCCCTGATTCCGAATCTTAGCCGATGCCAGAACTCTAAACTTGCCTCTACTGCATATGGCCAAACCTCTTGTTCCAACCACCTTCAGCCAGTTGCAGAGCCTGCCAAACCTGCAGCTCGACTTCCCTACTCTCGTCGAGCCAGCTGAAACTAGAAGCTTTCCATCTGCCTGATCGAGCTCACATGGCTGAAACTTGAAGCTCCATCCGCCTGCAAATACCTGCGGCCCCTGATAGGAGACCTGCTATACTCACAAAATATCATATACGAACAAAATGCTAAATGATTGCAACAAATGTAAATGCCTACGAGCCGCTGAAGAAGGCCCGTTATACATTCAACATGCTGTTTGTGAGAAAATGTAAAAGGACTGCAATAGGTGCAAGTGTATGCGATCGGTCGCAGGAGACTAGTTAGTGCACAACAATCTACCTGTAGAAAGTAACAAGTAGTGCACGACAATCTACCTATATGAAACGGGCAAATAACTATTGTGCAATGCGATGCCGCCAGATCCGCAACACTCACACAAGCAGATAGAATGCATCTACAAACTCTCAAATGGAGTATCACACACATTCAAATGACAGTTGCCCACACAACTGTCAGCACTAAATATTCTAAAATGCCCCCACGTATACATCACAACATGTATGAATACAAATACAAAAATACCCTCTTAACACACGCATTGGCCCCAACTAGTGTGATTGGTACACACGTGATGTATGAGGATGTTGTGCGGGTCAAATGATAAATTCAAGTTCGAGTCATCCTTCTATGCGAGCAGATAAGAGTCGACATGAGTCTAATTATCAAACAAATATACGGTGACGACGTTGATCGAAATATTTATTTTAATACATTCATATTATGCCTATAAGGCTTATAAGCAATGAAAATCCACTATTAAAGGCACAAAGCTGGTAACGAACCCGATCATTGTTAGTAATTAGACATAGTCGACAAGATTCAATAGATAATTACCAAAAATACCCCCTAAACACCCGCATGGATCCTGGCGAGGGGGTTATGGGTACACACATAACGTTTGAGTATGCTACGCAAGTCAAATGATAAATCCAAGTTCAAGCCTGATCCTTCTATACAAGTAGATAGGAGTCGACACTGCTTGAACTATTAAACAAATATATAGTTATGACGTCGATCGAGATATTTATTTTATACGTTCATATTAGGCTTTTACCTTATTTAAGAAAATGAATGAGCATTTCATCACTTATAAAAATGGATATAGTTCAACCCAGATTGACTATTTTCTTATAAGAAAATTAGATCGGTTAGATTGCAAAGATTGTTAAGTTATTCCGAGTGAAAATTTATGTACCCAGCATCGATTATTATTTTTGGACTTTAAGATAAAGGGGCAGATAATAAAAAATAAAGTAAAACAATATTCTAGGATTAGGTGAGGTCATTTAAAGAATATTAACACAAATATTTTTGAGAGTAAGATTTTAGATCTTAAGATTTTATCTGTGCATGAGAATGCTAATATTTTGTGGGATAAAGTGGCTAGTGATATTAAGAATATTGCAAGAGATGTGCTTGGAGTATCAAAGGAAAAATCTTCTAATAATAAAAATAGTTGGTGGTGGAATCCAAATGTGCAAGAAAAAATTAATAATAAGAAGATTTGTTATAAAAATTGGTTTAATTTTAAAAATTCTGATTATTGGGTAAGATATAAAAAGGCTTGTAAGAAATCTAAGAAAGCAATATGCGATGCAAAGACCTTAGCTTTTAGTGATTTATATAATAGATCAAAATTTGTACCAAACCTCCTTGCATTTCTCTCTCTCTCTAGATGTGATATAGAGACGAGAAATGACTAAATAATAAAACTATTTTTGGACTGTGAAGATGCTCTATGCCAGAAATGTACTCAAATACTTTTAGTAAATTTGATCTCATGAGAAAGGGGCAAATTATTCTCTGCGGAGTCCGGATGTCATCCAAAGGTAAATAAATATGTGTCATGTCACTTCAAAAGTGTACCGCGCTCAGTATCAAACACGGTACCAAGCAGTACCGAGCTTCGATACACCCGGTACCGCTCTCTGTACCAAGCGGTACTGGACGGTTCTCCCGTCCGGTGTCCGCACAGAATAATCTCTCTGAAGCTCATCCCAGGAATCAGATTAGATAAAGTTTTAAAGTAGTCACATGTAATTACAAAAATTGCGAAGAGGTAGAACTTGAATATTTCTCTGAAAGAGATTATTAACAATTTTTAGTTCTCCAGCCAAAGCCAACCAGGTATAAGATGAATAGCTAAGTGCATAATGTCTATGCTACCAAAATTTATAGCAAGAAACTTGCTGCCAATCTAGGAAAAAATTACACAAAAATTCTTTAGACTTGGGTTGCTCAGAATCAAGCCAAATCAGAGGAACGACCGAAGATTCCTTAATAGAAATAGCTTTGATAGCTTGTTGAACATGGGTAGGGAATTGGGAAAGAAGGTTTCAAGCATTAGAAATGCTGATATTATTAATATTAGCATATGATACTACAACGAACACACCAAACAAGCAGAATAAAAGTTAGGACCAACTAAATCCTTTTTTTTTTCACATAGAAACACATAATTTTGAGCATATACGTGAAAAGGTTGGAGTAGCTCCAGTAGAAGATAAGATTAGAGAGAGTCACCTTAGATGGTTTGGTCACATAAAATGGCGGCCCTTCTGATGACCTGGTTAGGAGAGTAGAGGTATTAGATTTGACTTATGTTAAGAAAGGTAGAGGCAGACCTAAAAAGACCTGGTTAGAAAATATTAGGGATAACCTTTCTTTATTAGATTTAAACGAGAATTTGACCTTTAATAGGACACAATGGAGAAAAAAGATTCATGTAGACGACCCCACGTAGTGGGATAAAGGCTTGATGTTGTTGTTGTTGTTGTTCATATTAGGCCTTTAAGGATACTAACCAAAAGAAATTAATTAAATAAAAGCATACAGCCAATTCGAATCCTATCTTTTGTCGACAACTAACATAATTGATAGGCTTCATTCAATAAAATACAATTGCCCATTATTACCTAAATGATGATCGTGTTGAACGTAGATCTCAACCAGAGGGGTTATGTTGACCTCTGTTAATTAAACCAAAAAAGAGATATGATGATGAATCAAATCTCACATGCTCTGCCCCCATCCCACATCGCATGTTCGCGACTCTCCTCCCACGTTGCAGCCAGTCCGATCATGCATCGCACGATCTTGTTTTCACGTCGATAAAAAGACCAAGGGAACGAGGCCTTCGGCCTCCGCTGACGATCCCACTCTTCCTCGCGCTCACGC